ATGAGTACAACTGTATGTAGCTGTTCTAGAGTAAAGGGCACATGTAATCTGAATTCAGATGAGAAGACATAAAGGTGCAAATCTTTTTTGGGAAATTGAAGGGAAGCCTGATTTATCTAACAACTGAAATATAAAAATTGTTTATTGGGAGTGATGAGATATAGAGGCAGGGGAATAATTCTTAATTTTAAGTTGGACTTGAAAGAAATGCCCAAATAGGCAGGAAATTTATTGTAATGTAAAATTTTTAAGGAACATTTGGACAGACTTTAATTGATATTTACCCCATATTATTAGAGAAGCGAGTACAGGCTAACAGTGAGGTATCTAAGCCCACAGAGGAGGAACTTTCAAAGGTGAATTTTTTAGTGAAGTTATAAAGTCAGAATAAAGCAGAAATAAATTAGATTATAGATAGCCTTAAAGAAGAAATAATTGGAACATTTTCAAATACTTTGGGTCATTGCTTGCTCTCTAAATGTGAACTTCAAGTGATATTGAAAAATCCAAGGCAGGACATTGTAACAAATTGGGCAACTGGCTCTTCTCATCTGATTCTGAGGTATCGAATATTAGAGTGCAAAATATCAAGGTTTGAAAATTCAGAGAAAAATTGGAGTATCAGCATCCCAAAATTGAACAGGGAATTCAGATCTTAAGAACTGTGTGGAACTTGAACTGAACATTTTATAAAGACTTCAGTCCTGGAACCGATGGCCAGCTTATAAAACCAATAGCACAAATGATTAAAATAAATGCTTGGAAGGAATTTATGAAATTCTGGGGACTCACCAATCAGAGGAGGGAGTGAGGTGAAGATAGCTGTACAAGAACCACTTAGTTAAGCCAAGTGACCTTTCCCTTCTTTGCCTTAATTTCCAAATCAGAGTACTCAGTGTCCCTTTTTCTAAAGTGTCTTATATTGCCATTCTGACACACACCTATCAGCAAATACAGAACATCACAGACTAGTTTGCCTCAAAACCCACCCTTAATGAATTATTTCCCCCAGAAGAGAGGAAAACAACCCAGTTCGGCAGAAATAATAAAGATGAGTAACTTGAGAGGGCCCCCAAAGCTTCAGTTTTTATTTTGGCCACTTATATAACATTATTTATGGATGTTAATGAAAACAGGCAGTTGCCATGGCAACCACAGTAACTCCAGACATCTGATTCTACTGAAATCCACCCTGGTCTTCACCACACCCTTGCACAGTGCATAAGATCATAGCTGTTTCAGAGTTTGTGGCAGTAAAAATTATCCCCATGAGCAGACATTGTTTTTTGTTGCTGTTTAGCCATCTCAATTTTTAAAAACACCCTTATCTGGAAAATTTGTCACTCCATCTATTATGTAAATGGCCTCTCTGGTTTTACCATATGTTGTGGGAACCCAAAGGCAATGTCACCCCATTATGCCCATTTTTATGTAGCTTGTTAATATTGAAACTGAGCTGTACCACATATCACAAGTATCAGTTCCCAGGCAATGAATATTTACTGAATGCCTACTATGTACAAAACAAAACAAAACAAAACAAACTGTACTGGGCAAAAAGTTAGAAATGATAGAATCCTTATCTTCATACAGCTTACTATCTGTCAGGGGGTTAATATTACAAATGTACTCAATTATAATACAATGACATTATCTAATCGTACTAAAGAATTTCAGAACAAAATATTATGTGAGGCCCAAGGAGGAAGATGACCTGGGGGATCGCTGAAGGCTTCATAGAAGAGGTGATATTTGAGATGGATCTTAAAGGCAGAATAGGAAGTCAGCAGAAGAAAGAAGAGAGGACACAACTCAAGCAAAATAAAAAATGTAAGATAGCATAGGGCATGTGTATGTAGAGCAGAAAGCAGTCTAGTTTGATCACAGCCCACAAAGAATTAGTAGAGTGGATTGATATGAATAAAGCTAGAGAGGTAGGGTTACCTAATATTGGGTAGAGCCTTGAATGTAAGACAGAGGAGTTTAATTTTATTCTTTAGACAATGGAAAGCCACCAGTCCTTTGAGCAGAAACTATTCTGCCAGAAGTATGAATGACACGTCTTGTTATTGTTCGATCATTTCAGTCATATACAACTCTTTGTGACCCCACTTGGGGTTTTCTTGTACTTTGGTACAAATGGTTTGTCCTCCTCAGCTCATTTTGCAAATGAGGAACTGAGGCAAACAGGGATAAATGATTTGCCTAGGGTCATACAGCTAGTACTTATCTGAGTCTGGACTTGAACTCACAAAGATGTCTTTCTGACTTCAGACTCAGCACTCTATCCACCATGCCACCTACCTGCCCCAAATGACACGTGAGAAGGAATATAGAATGGAAGCTAAAAGTCCGGCTATTACAATAGTCTGGGCAGGCAGGGATGAAAGCCTACAGTAAAATTCATGGTAGTGTAACTGAAGAAGAATTGAAGGTTTAAGACAGGTTGCAGAATTGGCAGCAATTGGTATGGTAGAAAGAGTGCTGGGTTTGAAATCAGGACCTGGATTTCATTTCCAGTACTAGCACTAACTGTGTGACTTTGAGCAGATCATTTAACCTTAGTTTCTTCATCTTGAGGGGCTTGGATTAAATGACCTCTAAGGTTGCTTCTGGCTATAAAGTAATGATTCATTATTCAGTTTGAAAGATCAGAAACCTTCTTAGAAAGGTCAAGAAAGAGTCCAAACATGGGAGCTAGGATAAGTGATGGAACCAGTAAGTAGAAGTAGTAAAATCAGGGTAAAGGCTAGGTTTAGAGGAAAGGATAATAAGCTGTTTGGTGCAAGTTAAATTTGAGGTCCACCTGGAACATTTGGATGGATATACTTGATAGGCCATTTGAAATACAAGTCTGGAGCTTGGAAAAAAAGTCAGGACTAAAGATATAGGTTTGGGAGGTCATCTCCTTAGGAGAGGTAGTTGAAACTATGGAAATGAATGAGAAGAGAAGAATAAGTTCCAAAGTTTCATATTTTTAAGATGGCATAATTCCAAGAGATGGTTAAGATCTGAGTTGTGACCACATCAGTATATATGGCAGAGGTGGGTTGAAGAAGGTCGTTGGAGTTGAAGAGACTGAGAAATTAAATACTTATTAGAGATTTATCAACACAAAAATTGAAGTTCCTAAGGATAATGGCAGGAGATAGGTTGGAGAAGAAAGCTGAGCCAGGTATTAATGCCATTAAGATTTTGGGAGAATGTCCTAGCAGTCCTTTGTGACCACTGAAACCATAAGAATTACCTGTGCTAAGTGGTTGGCCCATATGATTTGGTTAGTTTTGGGTATGGGGATGGTCCAGTTGTCTCAGGACCACTCCTGTCAAGAGTTCTGTTTTTATTTCAGTAGTGCAGCTGCATTTTGGTATTGGTCCTGAAATATCATTAATCCATTGAATAGAAACCATGTCAAATTGGATTCAGGACTGAGAATCTAGTGTAGCAAGCAGTAAAGAGAATGATAGGACCTCAATGTTATTCAAAATTGAAAATATTGAAGTATTCCTGTCTGTTATAGATGTGAATCACTGTTTGAACCCTGCCACTTAAAATCTGCATGTTTAGAAAACTGCATGTAAAATCAGACTTGAAGATCATAAAAACTAATGACTCAGAGGGCAGCTTTGTACTGTAATTCTCCTAAGCTCTGTACCCTTACGCCATCACTGAACACTTGAACAGTTCTGGAATGATGTTTCCTGCATTTTCATTTACAAATTGATCTATCTCTAATGAAATCTGTGCTTGGCAAAGTACAATTTCTTGTCACCAAAGTGATAACTAGTAAGATTTATGCCCAGGGCAAGCAAAATAGAATATACTCTTGAATCATCTTCTCTGAGATGGCACAAGACTTCAACAAGAGGGGAGGGAGAAACCAGACAAGAAAGAGTTCATCTGGGGTGCATCCTCCAGGAAAGGAAGTGCCATCTGCTAGCTACTTATTTTGCCTAATGATTCCTGCTACCTAGGTATTAAACTAAATTATTTCTGTGCTATTGTAGATCTGCAAGTACTTTCTGTGCTGTCTAGCCTGTGAACTTGAACTTGTTTTTTATATATACATATATGTGTGTGTGTGTGTATCTATATGTATTTAGCATAATTAGTTTGCTTTTTATACCTTTGTACTTTATTTTATGCACTTAAAAACATTCTGGGGAGTCCATAGGCCTCACCAGCCTGCCAAAGAGGTTCATGATACAAAAAAAAAAAATCAGAGACATAGAACAAAGCCCCATTCACCCTACCTTGGTTATAACTCTGATCTTCACCCTAGGGTGAATTTTCACCTTGGGGGTGGGAATGATCACAATCTGTGATTCTTCAGTGGTATTTGTGACTCATGCCTGAAACATCAAACTGATAATACAAGTAAAACTCCTGTGTTCTTCAGACCTGGCTGCTCAAGCTTGCAAAGTATAAAATGCAAGTAGGAACATTACTAAAGATGAAGAAGTTAAATTTCTTAATTAGAATTTTCCATCAAATATCAACAGGAAGATAAGATAGTGCACTAGGCTTTCTGTTTTATTTGGAGAACCCTCATCTCAGAGCAGTTGGTCACATTCCTCATACTTCCTTTCTACATATTGCCACTATTCTCATGGTTCTTTGGGTGCTACTGCCCATTTTTACCCAGCTGAAGGTCAACATCAGAAGCCTAGAGCCTGTGTAGTTGCATAGCAGTGTTTATGCAGGCTTAGTCCAGCTCCATGCAATGGATGTGGATTTCACACCCATGAGCTCAACATGTAGTATTTGGCCCAAGGGGGAATAAATAATGGTATTTCTAAGATCTTCAAAGACTTTATAAACATTCAGGCACATTTTTACAGTTTTCTAATATCTTTTTCACTCATTTCTTGTGAGTTGTGCTTCATTTACCCACAAAAATGAAAAAAAATTTTTTTTAAAGATTATACCTTGCAGAACCTCAGTCTCATTAATCCTAAAACATCAGTCTTATTTCTCACATGGCAATCCTTGTTTTACAGCCAACCAGGACATCTTCTGAAAGTATTTATTCCAGACCAGGGTCAAGCATCCCTGGATCTCCAGGTCATACCATCTATGTAAGTATCTCTTTCAATAAAGCTATTAATTACATATAGGGGCCTCTTATTAATGCCAAAAAACTTTATGGATGTCCCTGACATAATAGATAACCTGTCAATTGATCAAGAAAATTAATTATGAACAAAAAGCTGCTATGAATCCAGTAACAATTTTAAATGAAGTTGTATTTTATTAGTCCACACCAGCATCTCTCTACATTTGGAAAGTAGTAGATAGATAGATAGATAGATAGATAGATAGATAGATAGATAGATAGATAGATAGATAGATAGATAGATAGATGATATAGATGTGTAAATGTAGATACATACTCACATGAATAACCAGATGGTATGCTTGCCTATTTGTTGTTTTGAGTTATTTAATAAAGAGGACAGTGCATATATGGTTTCAGAGACCCTTTGCAAGAACTCTGTTGCCTCCCAAAGGTCCACAGGCATGCATTAGTGTGCTGTTTACTTATTAGTAGAGAATTGTTTAAAAGTAACAGTGGTATAATTAGTTGAAAACAGATCATCCAAAACATTTGCACTTATGTTATGAAGTGCAATTGTATATTTTTTATAGTAGATGTATCTTGATAATTATTGTTTGAATAAATATTAAAGTTAATTTTCATTTTCTGACCACACATCAGCTGGGCAATGGAGAGATAGCCCACTGACATTCTAGAGATGGTGGGATGTCAGACTACAAATTTCTTGCAGATAATTTACATGAGCATAATTGAGAGTTGATTGTATATTTATAGCCAGCACTGAGTATTCTTAAATTCTGCCATTGAAGATTATGAGTTCGAGAAAGATAATTAAATATTTAGTTACTTAAAGATGCAGTCCTTGTTCTTTACCATCTGGGAAGACTGTTTACCCATCTGTTTCCAGTTAATTTGCTCTCCATAATAAATTTAGAAAGATATCTTTAAGGGTTTATTTTTTTTTTGCCTACTTGTTGCTGAGTTTTATGGAGGCTTTTTCATAAGCTCCTAATTTTTTTAAAACTGATTAATGTGCTCTTAAAGAGGCAGCGTTCCTGAGAATGTGATTGTGCAAGTTACTATATCTACTTTCCAAAGCAACCCTAGATGGTGTTGGCAATAAAGAGTATCTATCAGATATGAGCATTCATGCTAATTTTTCTTTCTTTTCTGTTCTGCCAGGCAAAAGTTGACAATGAGATCCTAGATTACAAGGATTTAGCAGCCATTCCCAAGGTCAAGGCAATTTATGATATTGAACGTCCAGATCTTATTACCTATGAGCCATTCTATTCTTCAGGCTATGAGGACAAACAGGAGAGACAGAGCCTTGGAGAGGTAATGAATTCCCAAGATAGCTGGTTATTCAATCATATTTGTACAAAATCTCCTTCCCTCCTCTTTGGTTTTATTGTTGTTCACAATAACTGCTATTTGGAGCCTCTTTCAGTTAATAGATATCTATTGTGTGTTCTCTTTTCTCTTCTCTGTCACTGCCACCACTCATGGTCACCCCATCACCTCATACCTGGACTATTGCAATAGGTTGCTAGTGATTCTACCTGCTTTGTCTTTCCCCACTCCAGACCATCCTCTACTTAGTCTTCACATTGGCCTTTCTAAGGCGCAAGTCTGACCATTTACTCCCACTCTTCAATAAACTGCAGTGGCTGTCTATCATCTCTAGGATCTAATACAAATGCCCTCTTTGGGGCATCCAAAGTACTTTATAACCTAGTAGTCCCTTCCTACCTACCCAGTTTTCTTATATCTTACTCACCTGCCCCCCAAGTACTCTGGGATAGTGACCCTGGGCTTCTTGCTCTTCCTCCAACAAAACATTCCATCTCCCAACTTCGTGCATTTTCACTGGCTTGTCTTCCATGCCTGAAATTCTCTCCTGCCTCATCTCCATCTCCTGGCTTCCCTCAAGTCTCACCTTCTGCAAGAATCCTTTTCCAGTCCTCTTTAGTCTTAATGCCTTCACCCTGAAATTATCTCCAACTACACACACACACACACACACACACACACACACACACATACCTACACATTTACATGTTAATATACACATCTATACATTTACATGTTAATATATACATTTACATGTTAATGTTTATGCATATGTATGTGTGTTTCTACATAGTCGTTTGCATGTTATTTTCCCCAAAAGACTGTGAGCTTCCTGAGAACAGGGACTGTTTTTTTTCCCCTCTTTCTTTGTATCCCCAGCACTTAGCACCATGCCTGGCAATTTAATAAATGGTTGTTGGCTAATTAACTCAGCTCTATCAGGGATACAAAGGGATACCATGCTTTAAGGCATGGTCCCTACTTTTTTTTCTCAATGTTTAAATTAAGAATAAAAATAATAAAATTTAAAATTAGAAAAAAACTTTTCAAAAGGTACAGAAGAAAACAAAAACAAGTTCAGAAGGAAGCACAGCCAAGTGGAGCAGTTTTGAATTCATACATACATACAGATGTATGTATGTATGTGTATGCATATATACATACATATATTCATATATATATATACATATATATATATATACATATATGTGCAATGTAGAGATTCACAGTTTCATAGAAAATCCTGTTTTTTGCATTCTGCTATGTGTATTGAATGGTCTGGTTGTTTTTTGTTTTGCTAAGTTCAAAATAAAAAAATAAAATTTTAAATAGAAAAGGCATGGTCCCTATCCTCAAGCTCCTTACAGTCTAGGTGAGGCAATAAGGCAAACACATATTGACATAGATAGCACAAGCAGAACTGAGGGAATCTGTGTGGCACAGGCTAGCCTCAGAGAGGTGAATGAAAATGAAAGTAATCAGGGAGACTTCCCAGAGGAAAAGGATCTTGAACTAGGTCTTGAAGACTGTGTATAATTTGAATAAGACAAGAAAAGAGAAGGCTTTCCAGACATGGGGTAGGGAGATGGAGATGATGATGTGTTCTTGAGATGGTGAGGAGACCAGGCTAGTATTATTGATGTTTAGATCTTCCTATGGCCAAAGCTATCTGTGTCCTTATTGCCACTGAGATGATTCAGAATGTTTACCAAGATAAGGCAAATACTTTCTGATGCTTTCAACCCAGAAGAAAATAACCACTGGGCTAAGGGCCTTAGAGTCCTTCAGCCTGGCCCCATAGCCCAGGGTTAGGGGCTTCCCTTGCTATGGTCCTCACTTCAAACCAAGGAAAGGCAGGACTTAAGCTCCTAACACATGAGAAAGATACTATAATTAGAGGCAAAAGCACAAATCAGTCCATCAAACAATAAAACAATAAAAATGATAAACAATAAAAATCCATCAAAAACAATTGAAAAGCATTTATTCATGAGGAAGAAAACAAGGATTACTTTTTTCATGGTTTAATTCTAGTTTCAATTGGATTCAGTCTCAGAATGATTTTTTTCTTTTCCTTATTTTTTGTCAGAAAAAATCTTCCCCTTCCATGTTTTAGAGCTTTCCATTGCTTGGGAAATGATATCTGTTTTCATGTAGTACCACCTAGTGGTCAAGCAGTACTTGTTTGTTCAAGGCAAGGGAAATATCACAAGGGACGATATTCACTTTCCTTACCATGCCGACAATTAGTGTAAGTGACCACTGGGCAAGATTCAGTTCCCCAGTTGACTCTTGGCTTTTCATGGAAATGAGAGATGTAGAGAGAAAGGTCAACATGCAATGGCCCTATGCAGAGACCTCTGTGTATCTTTAGCACCTCCCAGAGTCCCCTTTTGAGCAATATCGATGCTGCTGCTGCTGCTGCTGCTGCTGTTAACGGGGAGTGGTGACCAAATGTAGCCCAAGAAGCTGGCTTCAATATAGACTTTGTACAAACTTTGTACAGACTTTGTCTTCATATAAACCCCATGGAAATGAATGGTGGTAACCAACATATTGGGATTTCTAGCCATCACTGTACTAATGGATGATGATAATATGAGCAGAATAATTTTTTAATAATAAAGGCAAGTCAGGCAGGTGATCAACAAGCATTTATTAAGTGTTGATTACATGCTAGTGTAAACAACTTTAGTGTCCAACAGAAGTATGATATCATCTTAGATTAGGTCCTCAATACCTTTTACCTGGGTTATATTATTAGGCTCCCAGTGGGTCTTCTTGCCTCCCATATCTTCTCTTACAATCTATCCTGCAAAAGTTGCCAAAGCAATCTTCCTAAAATATGGGTCCTTCCACCAACCTCTCCCCACAAAATACAGCTTGTAGTGGCTTCTCATTACCTCCTCATTATGTAGCACAGTGCTAGACTTGGAGTCACAAATGTCCAAGTTCAAATCCTCTCTCTGGTACTTACTCACTATGTGAACCTAGGCAACTCACTCAGCTTCAGCCTCAATTTTCTCATTTTCTTTTCTTTTCTTTTCTTTTCTTTTCTTTTCTTTTCTTTTCTTTTCGGTGAGGCAATTGGGGTTAAGTGACTTGCCTAGAGTCATACAGCTAGTGAGTGTTATATGTCTGAGGTCAGATTTGAACTCAGGTCCTCCTGACTGCAGGGCCAGTGCTCTGTCCACTGTGCCACCTAGCTGCCCCAATTTTCTCATTTTCAAAATGGAAAATAATAATAGCACCAACCTCACAGTGTTGTTGCAAAGATCAAATAAGATCATTATTATGCTAGGCTATAATAATAATAATTATAATATTATCATCATCTAGACAAATCAAATCAATAAGCACGTATTAAATGCCTAGTGTATGCAAGGCCTTCTGTTATGAATGTAGGGATACAAAGAAAGACATGGACCTTGCCCTTAAAGAGCTTGTAGTCTAACCAGTGTGTCATGGCATAAACATATGAAAGCTTAAATCATAATAAACAGAAAACAACAGGTTATACAGTGGATAGAGCTCTGGATGTGGAGTCAGGAAGACCTGGATTCAAATCCAACCTCAAATACTTTCTAGCTATGTGATATCACTTGGGCAAGTCATTTAATCTCTGTCTCAATTTCCTCATCTGTAAGATGGGGATAATAATGGTAGCTACCACCTGGAATTGTTGTGAGAATAAAATGAGATAATATTTGGAAGGTACTTTACAAACTTTAAAGTACTAAATGGATGCTATAATGATAATTTTTTTTAGTTTTAAATATTACTTTCATTATTATTTACTAGATGAAGAGGGGTGTAGACAATCTACTGTGCTTTCAGAGAAGGGAGAGATCATCGTGGGCAGGATGGTCTGGAAATGTTTTATGGAGTTAAAGGGAGCTACACCAGGTCTTTAAGGATGAGTAGGATTTTATCAGGCAGAGGGAAGGGAAAGATGGCATAAGCAAAGTCATATGAATATCAAACTCTCCCTGGAATTCCTCTAAAATGTGCTTCTTGAACCTTTCCTAAAAATCGTGGAAAGAAGGCTAGATGTAGTCAGATGAGACCTGGGTTCAAATCCCCTCTCCAGTACTTAATAGCTGTGTAAGTACAGACAGGTCATCTCATCTCTGTTAAAATTGGAGTCAGAGAGGTAAGATTTGGCCTAGAAGAGACATTGTTCCATATTTTCTAATGATCACTTTTAGCAACAGACCTAAGAAGGTAGAAATTATTAATGGTCTAAATTTGTGGAAGGGGAAAATATGCTAAGAAAAAGTTATGACTGCATCCTTCTTTCTCATTCTTACAGTCTCCAAGAACTCTGTCTCCCACACCATCTGCAGAAGTAAGTGTTCCGTGGGGAAGCTGGGTTTCACTTAGGCAGTAAAAATATTTGGGATTTTTCAGGGTCGCTTGTATTCTTCATGATTTAAAAAATATATAAATTCACAAAAACCTGAAAATTATTTGTAGTAGCTGTGAAAAAAAAACCTTGGGGGAATGTGGTAGCTCAGAATGTTTCTACTTGCCAAAGTCTACAGAATATGGGAACAAATTCAGAAAAAATGTTGACTGGTAATAGAGAGCCACACACTGAATCATAGACAGCTCCAAAAAAATTTTCAGAGAGTGAAATCGTCTGTCATAATGTGTGGTGTGCTAACTTCTGTACTCTGAGGTATCATCTAATGGCCAGTCCTGAAGAGTCATTTAACCTCAGTTTCTTCATTTATAAAATGGGAATTATAGCATACTATCTTCCTCCTAAGGTTATAATGATGAAAGTGGGAATCATAATTATTTTTGTTAGCTTTCATCAGAACTTAATGGTAGTGACAAAATCAGTCAGTAAACATTTATTAAGCACCTACCATGTGCCAGGCATTGTGCTATGCACTGATAATATAGTAAGAAACCAGAAAAAAAAAGTTCCTGTCCTCAAGTAGCTTACCATTTAATGGGGCTGTTGAAGGTATTTATGTATCATACTGACTTTAGGGGGCTTTTTGGACATTTTCTTTCTAGGGATACCAGGATGTTCGGGATCGAATGATCCATCGATCAACTAGTCAGGGCTCCATTAACTCTCCTGTCTACAGCCGTCATAGTTACACCCCAACAATGTCACGTTCTCCACAGCATTTCCACCGACCTGGTAAGGGCAATGGTTATCTATGATTTATCTCCTTACAGGCGTCACTATTTCCAGTGATAACTCAATGGTAGAGAGATGATGAACCATCATTGGCACTGGAAGGATAGCAGACAAGTTTTTAATATTTTTTTCCTCCCCCTGACAACTGTCTTACAGCCGTCTTTCACGCTAGTCATTAAATACTGACTTTTTTAAAGTTGCATTGGTGGTTTCTTATGGATAACCTATACAATATTGCTATTCTATAGTAGAATGATATAGTTTTATTACCTTGACTTGACTCACGACCTGTTGAAAGAGCCAAATGCATAAATTCTTAATTATTCACATAGCTATGGAAAGCTTTGGAAGCATTCAGTATTCTCAAGAGCAGTTAAAAGATGGTTTCTGTATATAGCACTTGAGGACCAGATTGGAATTACACCTGTATTATGGATTTCACTTGACCTTTCTTGCTCTCATTCCATTCATTTCAAGTACAGGATCCTCATTGCTGTCAGGGGCAAGGTGGGGGGTAAGGGGTATTTCTGTGTAGAATTGGAGAAGAATGAAGAGAGATCAGAAGCCTGAATTTTTCAAAATCCCCTATGAAGTAGAATTAGAAAGGAAGATGTGGGTCTGTTTCTTACAGAGAACCTGAGAATTGTGGTAGAATGATAAGTTGTTACTCTGTGCATCAATAAAGACTATTTTAAGCATCTTACCTTGATTTAATGGTGGAAAGAAAGTCAACATGTCGCTAAGTATGCTTTAAAATGCACTAGAATTAAAACTGAAAGAAGTTAATGAATGTAAAAAGGCTGCAAATTTCTGTTTCTTGCCAGCAGATTTTATGCACACACAATTCTCCTTTGGCCAAAGTAGGCCATGTTCCAAACCCTCCTTCTTACACAACAGTAGGCAAATAAGCAGACAGGTAATGAATACTTGTTAAATGACTGAACTAAAATATACTGCGTTTTTTCTTTGTTTTTTAAGGCCTTCGGTGAATACTCAGGATGCCTGAGTATTTTTACTTACCAGCTGGAAATATTCCACTTGAAAGCTGGTACTTCCAGGTTATAAATGATCCTTTCTGCCACTGCCTTCCCCATCCCTTTACTGTACCCTCTGAGGGAACTGTAAACCACCAAGATAGCTGGTCTCTGGCATCAAAGCAGGCATAGATTCTATGGAGTAAATGGGAGAATAAGGTTCTCTGAGTACAGGTATCTATCTTCATCTCATAAGAAAAAAGGTCCAGTAAGGAGTGGGGAGGGGAGGGACAGTGAAGGGAGAGAGGATTGAACAGGCAACTTTTATATTACCTTTAAAAAAATTATCCTTACTGATCTTTCAAGAGTATTCATCTGTTGTAATCATTTTTCCTTTAAAATAGCCTTATGGCTTTTTTAGACTCACCTAGCTTTTGAGAGGTGTATTTCTCCACTTACATACACCTCTGCTGTAGTACAGGCTGGGCCATTTTCTTGGATTTATTCTACCTATCCAAAATGAGACTGGAGTTAGATTCTGATACAGTAGTGACCATGGACAGTGTTGATGTCCCTAGTGATTTCTGCTCATGCCCCCCTAAGTCACTCTTGCTTTCCTCTGGCTATGTAGATCTGCCCTAAATCCCTTAGGTGTGTGCATGTTTTGTTTTGTTTCTAGTTTTCAGGGTCTACTGATTCTCAGAGATGTTGGGAGGCAGATCCATCTGCTTGTATTGTCCAGCCTTGTCAGTGAACCTAAAAGGGATCTTTTTCCCTTCTAAACTGATACAAAAATGGCATTAAGCTATTGGAGAGAAGTTTGCAGCTTTTAAAAAAAAATTCCATCATTGAGAAACACTTCCTTTCAAACTGTCTAGAATTGCCATCTTCTTACATGTCTTTCAGTTGGTTTTGTTTTGTCAGGTGCTTATCAAAAACAGCTACTAATTGATATATCTGGGTATTTGCAATGTTTGCATGTCAATGGCTGGTTGTGTCCCGACCCATGATGTGTTGGCGCTCTTATCTGCCAATCAAAGACATTTATCCTGATAATGCCAACCTGTTTTTAAAAAATACTTTCTAAAATTTTGCCTAAGCCTTGACCTGGTACATTCTTAACCCTTTCTCCTTCCTCCTTTTCAGACTTCTGATTAAAATGCTCTTTTCTTTTGGTTCCTCTCTCCCTGCTTCTGTCTTAATTTTTATTCTTCTTTTTGTTTTCGTTTTGTCCCTGCCCCATGATTCCTTTTGCTGCTGCAGAGCTGCTCTCTCCTGGTGTGCAGCGGTTGTCACACCTGCGCACTAGCAGTCTCAGCTCCACCCACAATGACTCCCGCCCCAACTCCCCATTCCGACACCACCACTTCATTCCCCATATCAAAGGTAAGGAGTCAGGCCTTTTTAGCTAGCGCCCTGCATAGTGGAGATTTATTAGCACTCTTATGAAAGCTAATAAGGTTTATCTCCGAAAGGTAGCCTTGAGCTTTTTTAACCTTTCCGCATGCCTCTGATGTCTCACTACACTTGTGTGTGTGTGTGTGTTTAGAACTGGCATAACGTCTTCCCTTGGGAGAAATATGTCATTTCTAAGGGCCCTAGATAAAGAAAATATATATTCATATATATTACATATTAGAAACATATAGGCTACCTCCTGCTTAGGGTACAGAGATTATTTTGGTGATTATGTTTTAAAAGCCACTTAATATGTAATATATAGCTCCTATGCTGGCCAAGTTGGTACACAGTTTTAACAGATGATGTGTATTTCTGAAAATATTTAAGCTACCAACATGTAGAAATTACCTCAAAAGTGATGAGTTGGTTAACAGTATTAAGTCTTGGCCAACATGAGAAGATCCATGGCAACACCTTAAATATTTTCATTTGTCAGTTCTCTTTCTGAGTTCATATCTTTAAGCTATCTTCCTTCTACCTGGCCTGTCTTCCACTAGGAGAATGAGATTTGTCCTGTTTTCTGTTCCCAAGGTAGGCCTGTTTTTGGTCCTTCCTCACATTTCCCTTTGTGATATTTAACCAGTCCTTCCTTGTCATTGTTCTTTCATCTCCTATAGCAGGCCTTGATCAGTGTTCTTGTTTTCTTCTCCATTATGGGGAAGCCAAAGATCCTGATGAGGTTTAAAAGGGGTCATCATTTGAAATAGACTTCAGAGTTCAGAAGTGGTGCTGGTTTCTACTCTCTACTTTATCTGAAACAAGCCAACTGATGGAAGCATCAGTGAGAGGAGGTTCAGGAAGCATAGGCTGTTGCCATGGATCTTAAAAAATGCTAATAGACTTCAACCATATTCCAAGCACTCAAGTTAGTGACTTATAAATTGGAATCCTGGGGGCTGGGGGAGAGTGGTTTTAATCAGCACACATTTGCAATCTACTAAGCACTTTTCCTTTATATTAACTTGATTCTTAGTTATTAGATCTCATAAAAATAAATATACTTCTCATGTCAGCATGAAATTAGCCAACAAATTTTGTCATTTCAACATTTTCTATGCACCAAAACAGCATTGCTATCATACTTTCTGATGGCACAAGGATCTTCTTCAGTGGTCACTGTGAGAAAATACTTATAACAAATTTGCCTAACAGTCTGGAATCCATCCATCCTTGCCAACCTATTTTTTTTAAAAAATCAGTGTTATCATCACTGAGTGTTTTTTAGAATAAAACCATTTTTAAACTGACAAACTCAGTTATTATCTATGATGGAAAAAGAATGATAGGGCCACTTGATGGCCAACCCTCTGATGATGAGCCTCTTGGAAGAGCTTGTCTTTGGACAACAGACACAGTTTCACACTGAGCCTATACTCATCTCAGAGCCTTTCCAGTTCCTTAATATTTGCTAGAAATTACACTCACACATATCTTTTGAGAACAGTCAGCCCTACCCCAAAATAAAAGAGGACGTGAGTAGATAGTCTACTTATCCTCAGAGACCTTAACATAGAAGTATTTGTTCTAATTCAGTTTCATTTTGTAATACAGAAGAAAACGTTACTGATTCATTAAGATGAAAATTTCCCATTTTGTTTGGGTAGGATTTTTCTTCTCATATCTGAGACTCTTTTAAGATGGAAACTTTTTACATTAGATATCATGCTTGAATTCCTACACAAAGTTATAAAATTGTGATCAAACCATTATGACATAATATGCCATTTCTGATCTTAAACAAAGCATTAATTTATTTAGATCTGTTGTTGCTTAATAATATGAGAGTATAGATTAAACAGATGGCAGAGGCACCCATGTTTGGTATGTTCATTTTTTTCTAACACATGAAATCTAAGATGCTTATTAAATAACATTTAAATGTTCATTTTTCTACTTCCTTTTTCAATAAAAAGCTGCGTCTTTTTGATGTTGAGACAGTCAGCATCCTTCCCCAAAAATGTTTGATAACATTTTTATTTATTTTTAGCTTTTCAATAATAAAGTCATGATCTCTTCTGAAAAAAGGCTAAAAATTCCATATGCTTTTTGCTCCTGTCTGCTATTTTATCCAGCAATGATAGATTGCCTTCAAACTTTTGTTTGGATCTAGGTTCTGAATCTTTGAACTCATGATTGGTAGAAACAATCAAAGGAGAGCAAACTCAGCAAAGGCATTAGAGCAAGGGTGGTTGGTAACCATATGATATGAATAGAAACTTAAGTTATTCATATATTAACTGTAAGTTGCAACTAAAAGTTAAATAAAAATTTCCCCTTCTTCATGTCTTCTCACTTGGGCCTTATATGTGCCAATTAGTGCATATATAACTAACATTTTCTAAAGTCAAAAATAAAACATTCACATAATATCTACTGATATTAAAAGTGGAATGTACTTATTGGCAAGTGAGCTAAATAATAATATGCCCTAAGGGGGAGGTGACTTTAGGACTCCAGAATTTGCCCTGAACTCCACTACTCTGGTAGCACTGGATATTTGAAAGGGTTCAATACTGTTTTTCCTCATGGATCCCAGGATTTTATGAGTTCTTATGTTTCTTTGCCTTCTAACATTCTATGACCCTCAGCTTCTACTGAAGAGTGTTCATCTGTTCATACAGAAGAGCTTTTAGTGCTTAGAAAATATTCCATAAAGGGAATATTTGCCTCTCTTAAAAACATATTCAAGAGATTTTTAAGAGACCATGATCTCTAGGGTTTTCTTGTAGTCCTTCATTTAAATATTTGTTTTAAATTCTGGAGACTATCTCATTGAATTTGGGGAATTCTCTTAGTTTAAAATGGCAGAGATTAGTATTTTAGGAGTGTTGAAGTACAAGCAGTGAAGCCTTAGCTTTTCTACAAAGCCAAAGTAAGATTATCCCTTTGGACATACAAGTTCCATTATCTTTGATGCATGTCTGGCATAGGGGTCCCCCAAAGTACGCTGAACCAAAGTTGATTGCATGAATGATAAAGCTGAGGAGCTCAACATGAGATTCACTGTCTGTTCTTACTCACCTGCCCCCACCCAATTTTCTTCCAAAATTTCATTTCATTCCTGGGTATATTTGATTTCTTCTCTCCTGACCTTCTTTTCAGCTTCATTCTACATTGGTATGTGCCACTGAAGCCATTCAGTTGTCATGCATGCCCCAATATTTGGAAGGGAACCCATTTTCACTTTGTTTTTGGTGGATGTGCACAGTTTGATAGGTTTCTCCTCCTTCCCCTTGACAATATTGCAGCAACTTCTATTTTCCATAACCTTGAAGCATGTAAGAAGATTGTGGAATGAATCAAATAAAGTTAGGTCCTGCTGGGCCACATGTTAAGTTTCTTCAGCCTGTCTTGGAATGGTTTTCGTTGTTCTATCACAAATGTGATACTGGAGGGAGTTGGTTGTTCCATTTTAAGAGATTTAGTCAAGCACCTGGCAATTTTGGAACTCTCTGAAGAAATTTTAGATGCTCCCAATGCTTTATGAGGCTTAGGAGTATATTAGCAGGGGCATCACATTTGAAAATTACAACTAGGAAATTCATAGGACAAAGATTTAGAGTCCAAAAGCTGAGCACTGCCTCAGGCTTCTCTTACCAGCTGTCCCTCACTTGGGAAATACAGACAAAATAGGCTATTTTTCTGCCACAAAACAAGACAACGGAGGTGACAGTACCAAACATGGGAAAGAAATAAGGGATAAAACATTTCGAAAATCATTAGCTGCAGAGAGAGACTTACTCACTGAAGGATGAATCGGGTTGATTTCCCAAACCATCATTTGTATGTCAGAAATCCTAAAGCTTAAGAGCTTTTAAAAGCCCTCCTTGTATTGATCCATATGAATGACAATGATCACCACCATCATTAAAAGAGAAAAAATGAGAGGGTTTTCTCTCCCCTCTGTTCTGTAAATGTTAAGGGGCCATTGCTGTGTGGTAAAGAGTTAGAAATATTCTTGGCCTTGATAGGCTCAATAACACAAATATATTTCTTTATATAGACACATATACATTCCTGAATGTTTTCCTTTAAGGAATAAATTATTTTAATAGTAAAATAACTATAAATAGCATTATTATATTTGAATTCATAATGTTATAATAATTAGATACTAAAGCATCTTTCTTCAGGAATAGTGATATAGCATTTATCAGATATTGCTAGTTAATTAAGCCCAACTCTTTGATGTGCCCCTTGGTTGAATTAGATTGTACATGTGATCACATTTCTTAAAAGAAAAGGTGTTTATCTTAGAAAGGGAATAGTTGGCTTCATAGATTACTTAGAGATTTCATTTACTTTTATTTTATATTCTTTGTATTAGAGGTAAGCTTTGATAGTTATTCCTTCTTAGGACAGTTACACCATTGTATCATCCTCTCTATCCCCTTTGACTTATCCAGTACTCAGACTTCTACCAGTCTCAACTTTCTGATGCAGCTAAGAATTCAAAAAGTGACCTAAATAATAATACTGGCCTGCACTTACTTTATATAGTATTTTAAAGTTTGCAAAGTGGTTAAGTGCTTTGTCTCTTTGGGTCATAACAGTCCTGTGATATAGGTGCCTTTATTGTCTTTTTAAAAAGAATAAACTGAGGTTCAGAGAAATTAAGCTATTTTCCCAGAGTCACATAGCTAGTAAATGCCTGAGCCATATTCTAACCCTGATCTCCTTCACTCCAAATCCAGTGCTCTCTCCACAATGCTACCCTGCATTTTGCAGCACTTTGATTAAGTCTGTTTTCTCTGGGCTTCATTTTCCTTAGCTCTCCAAGTTTTTTTCCAGCTCTGTGTTTCAATGAATCAATAAATCTTTAATCTAAAACATTCTTTACTTGATCAGTACTTAATTATCTAATTTATACTGGTAATCAGGGCCAGCTCAGGGCAGAATGTGAAAGTAGAAAGTGATCTGCCACCCACAACTTCCCAAGTCACACTCCTACTCCCCTTTCAGGGTCCTAGTATTCTCTCTCTCTCTCTCTCTCTCCCCTCTCTCCCCCTCTCCTCCCCCTCTCTCCCTCTTTCTCTCTCTCTCTCCCCCCTCTCTCCCCCCTTCTCCCCTCTTTTCTCTCTCTCTCTCTCTCCCCCCTCCCCCTCTTTCTCTCTCTCTCTCTCTCCTCTCTCTCTCTCCCTCTCTCTCTCTCTCTCTCTCTCTCTCCCCCTTCCCTCTTCCTCATTAAGAATGCATCTTTCAAGAAGCTTCTGACATCAATAATCATTATCAAGATAAATGAATATGTGCCTCTAAATGGTGCCATGAAAAGCTTTGTTAAATGAATCTCTGTTAAAAGAGTAGAGGCAAACATGTGGAAGAATGATTCTGGGGAGAAGGTAGACTTTCCATTCCCCTCCTCTCATGTAGTTGGGATGGTTGCCTTCTTCACCTGTGTGATTATTAGCCCTTCTGGCACCTTCTACTCTGCCTTAGGTTACAGTCAGAAAGCAGGGAGAACAATGATCCCCCAGATAGGGGATAGGAAAGGAAAAGAATGTGAATTCCATTTGCAAATTTCTTGGCAGATTAAAAGGTCATGTGGGAGGCTTTGGCAAACTTGTGAAACATTGCTTTGATAGGTTGAGGTATGTTTGTGTTTTGAGCAAGGGACCATTCTAGAGACTGGGAGGTCCTATTGTCTGTGAAGCACTTTCAAGGAAGACTAATTAATTAGTTCACTCAGTAATGAACTTGCCTAATAGAGGAGACATTGTCTCTACTGTAGAGTGTTCTATTGGATTCTAGTTGATTTTATCTCTGAGATCCTTAAATCATGCTAGAGAAATGATGACGCCTTACATGCTAAACACAAGAGAAAGCTTTTAATGAATTTTTCTTTCATGTTTTGCTGTATGTTTGAATATTCTTTCTTTTTTAGATATAGTTGTGATACTGATTAACAATGACCAAAGTTCAATAAACATTTATTAAACGCCTACTATGTGCCATTAACTGTCCTAAGTACTTTAAAAGGAATTCGTAAGAAGGAGCCTTGGTGTAGTAGACAGTTGACCTTAGAGTCAGGAAGACAGACCTGGCTTCAAGTCCCACTTTTAACACATGCTTGTTCTGTGACCCTGGGCAAGTAACTGACTAATCGAATCAGTGTTATAGACAGCTTTCTAGGACTTTAACTTGCAGAACAATTGTTGTTCTATGTTGGTAGAAGGAGTTTCTTCTCTGTGAATTCTCTATCCCAATAAAATCATAGACACTGAGTCCAGAAAGAAATAGAAATCTCCCTTTCCAAATCTCATTTTGGTCTTGTGGCTTGAATTGGTAACATTGCATACTTTTCCTGGAAGGCTAGGATTTCTGGCCATAAAATGAAGTAAGCATTGGACCAGATGAATTCCAAGCTCCCTGCTAGCCCTAAATCCTCTGATCCTATGACATCAGGTTCACAATGAGGTAAATGTAGTTGAATTCTGCAGTGGTAAGTGACAAGATACTGCTGAGACATCTCCCAAGTAAAAATCTGTAACCGACTAACCAAGACAACTTTTTTGAGATGAAATTTCTAGACTTTCTTTTCGAAGAATTGTCCAAGGGTTTTTGGTTTCCAATTGTCTAGTTTTCCTATGAAGAATACCTGGTGTTTTCAGTTCATGGTAAAACATCCTTTGAATGGGACACTTGGTTCAGAGACGTTGAATATCTACTACAGTGTATAAGCCATAAAAAGAGACAATTATTCCATTGGTGGATATTTTCTCTCTAGATATCTTTAATTAAAGAGTTAAAAAGAATTTAGGCGGTATTTACTAAACTCAAAAATGACTATGCCATTGATTAAGCAATATATGAATTAATCATTTCATTTGAGGTATTTCTTCCTTAAGAACATGTAAGCCATGTTCTCCCAACCCATATTTGTCTCTAATTCTCTTAAGTTCCTGCTAATTTTTATCTTAGTTTATCTGATGACAAACCCGAGCTAATTCTCATAAGGCAACATGTTAGGCTATGATTGAGGTTCATTCAGGAACAATTTATCTAGCAGTTTTTATAACATTTCTTAACTATTAGCTGATTATGGCCTAATGCATGAAATAGTAAATTAGCTTCATAAAATATTAGGAGCTTGGTGCAATGCTATGCAAATATCAATGTCAAATGCAGCTTTGATTGCATACCCAAGCTTAAGATAGATCATGTTAAATTCCCTCAGAGCTGCATTTGAAAATTCAAAACTCACCTTTGTAATAATGTGTTACTTCTTTTATATCAGTCTATGGCTTCATTGTTTAAAATTACATATTCGGAATAAAAATTTAATTTTCTCTCTAGTAAATTAGAATTTTTAGGTAGTACAATCTAAAATCAGGTAGCATAATTTAAAGAATTTGCTTGCAATGCTCTAATATTTTGCAAATATTATACATACAGATATATGTATAATACAGACATATATAATTTTTAAATGTTACTGATATAATAACTTGACAGAATCCTACACCCCTAATGATGTTTCCTCATTTGAATGTCAGCTAGTAGAGATAGAAGCAACATAAAGGCCCCAAGGAAAGGAAAGGAATGAGTTAGAACCCTCCTGTTGACCATAAGCCCATTTTAGACAGCCCCCAAAGAGATTCCCCTGAGTTTACACTGTCATAAGTCAGTAAATTTTTATGTCTCCCATGAATGGTAGTCATAGTGGAATCTAACTTTTCAAAAGAAAAATAGAAGGCAATAAGGTATACTTATCAAAAGATTGAATTCTACTCTGTCCACTTCAATGTTAGAAAATGAAAGAATCATATTGCAAGAAACCATATTGCATTGGTAAGGGGAAGGATTGGGTAACAACATGAGTTTTCTACCGAACCTAGTCTTCAGTTTAGACAAACATGCTCTGATTGCCAGCATCTGCCTACATGCTTGGAAATGGTTGTATTTGAGTTTGCAAAGCCAGTACTTTATATGCTTGAACTTTAACTGTTCTAATCTTGATTCTAAATCATGAGCAAGAAACTCCCCATTTCTCTTTCTTATATTGACCATCTAACCAGTATGCTGCTTGCTTACAGCATCCAATCGCATGCCATCGGAATGAAGCATCTTGTTGCCAGCTGCCTTTGACTCAGTTCTCCCTCTCTCAGAATACTAAACTTGAAATCACCTGTGTTAGCAAAATTGATAACTTATTTGGTTTTCTTTCCTTTTTTCTCTTCAGTTTATCTCCTTTCAGTTTGTTGTTTTGAATTTTTATTATGCTTGCTTTCCCCCTCCCCTTTTGTCACTCTCCCTTCTCTCATTTTGTTTTCTCCATTCTTCTCATTGGAGGCAATGAGCCATCCAGCGGCCGGAACTCCCCTCTCCCTTATCGGCCAGACAGCCGCCCTCTAACTCCAACTTACGCTCAGGCCCCTAAACATTTCCATGTTCCAGGTAGGAGCTGACACTGTATGTGTCTTGGTGTCCCGTCACAGTGTAGATTGTAGCCTTGTAAAACCTTTGTCTCGTCTCCATTACCTCACGCTCTTTTATTGGGATGCATACAGTTGACATGCCTAAATTGGAGGTTCTGTTCTAAAGGATCATTAGAACAGTTTGATACTTGAAATGTAAGGTGATATTAAAGGGTTGTTTTTGGTTTTGCTTTCGTTTGGGGTGCTTTTTATGATTGTCTATGGGGGGTGGTGATACTGAAGTTATAGTTGTGGTGACTCAAAAGGAAAATGTCTCCTGTTACATAGTAATTATTTCTAGATATTAGTTCACGTTATGGTTTGGTGCACATGGCAAGGTGAAGCTTTCTTACTGTTATTGATATTGAACTATGTAGCTTCAAGGATCTTACTTTTATATCCCAAAGCAATTCCCTCAGTTGTAAGAATATTCCCACAGACTTTTAATTTCCTGTCCTAGAGATGTGATACCAGATAAATTGAGTGTTCTTTTCATGACATGAAATTAATTGTTTGTGGCAGTATGACTACATAGTAGCCCACCAAGAAGCCTTGCCTTTCAGGCTTAGGGCTGGAGGCTTTGTTTGGGTATTTGTAAGCTTCCACTGATCTGAACAAATGGATGTTCTCCAGGAAGGGGTAGGGAAACAAAAGTCAGTATTTTGTAGGAAAATAAAATTTATTGTCTTAATATTAGAATTGGCTCAGCCCTATAAGGAATAGAGAATCAAGCAGAGTTCGCCAACAATAGTGATCATAGAGTTCAAGCGATGATATGTTTTAATTGGCAATAAAGATAAAATTCTCCATTATATGACATTTTTTACCTCTCCTGGCTACTGAAAATTATTTTAATAAATTACCCATTATTTTAACCTTAGTTAACAGTTGGCAAACTAATATTTTTTTTTCTATTTAAGTCAAGAAATTGCAGTGAAACTCAGGGTTACTGGATTTAGAATCAGAGGACCTGGATTTGAATCCTAGTTCTGCTATTTACAACCTACATGACTTTTAGCAAGTCATTTTCCTTCTCTGGACCTGTTTTCTCATGGGTAAAATGAAGACATTGGATGATATCTCTAAAGTCTCTTCTCACTCTAAATCCTATGATACCTCAAAATATCTCTAAGGTTTGGTTTGTCATATGGTTTTAGATTGAGGCATCAGTGACATAATGGATAGAGACCTGGTCTCAGAGTCAGAGTGACCTGAGTTTAAGGCCCAACTGAGCATATTGACCATGTGGCCTTGGGCAAGTAATTTAACCTCTCAGTGCCCCCATGCAATTCTCTAAAATTATAAGTTGTTAATAGTTTCTGATCTACACTGCTGGAAGGTCTTTTTTTGTTGAGGGTACCTTACACCAGTGAAATCACAGATCTTGTCAAAATGGTTCTAATTTAGAACCATCTTCTGTGGTTATAAATTTCAGTTAACTTTGAGAACAAATTTATATTTGCAACTTTTAGTCTCATAATGCTCAATGAAGATTTAATTCCTTGAGGCTTGAGGAGAAAATAAGTATTTTGAGATTTTGCCAGATGTATTGCTAGCAGACGGGTCTTAATTAGCAGTAAGGAGGCAGTTACATTTCCCACACAAATTAGGATTAGATTGAGCATCCCATGAAAACATCTGACTGTTTTTAGAGTAGAAAGCATTTTCTGTGATTTCTGACTTCACTGCATTGCTTCACACTCAGTTCAGCTCATTAATTAAAAGATAAATTGGACTCTGGTATCTACCAGAAGCTACATTTCCAGACAGCAGCAATTTGAGGAGGTTTTTTAACCTCCAAAATAGTTCTGTCTTTCACACCATCAGAACATCTCCTTTGTTTTCATTTTTCTCAATTTTTTATCACATCCTTACTGAAATATATATAAATGTATATATGTGTATACATACACATATATATGTAGACATATATATATATATATATATATATATATATATATATATATAATATGTGGCTCACATCTTAGTTACATCAGCATATTTATTGTAAGATGTATTACAAAGACTTTCATGTCACATGTCTGATAATTCACTCATTTTTGTGTTTTTACTTCAAATAAACTAACTCTTTGTAATACAAAAGAAAACTTTCTGGTCTTTTTTTGTTCAAGACTCTTCACACTGGCTTAACATTTGGTTTATTTTTTCTTGTTCCATAACTGAACTAGTCTCTGTACTCACACATCTTTACTTTTTCGTTCCACAGATCAAGGGATCAACATATATCGAAAACCACCCATCTACAAACAACATGGTAAACCTGCTTTCCTCCTTATAATTCTTAAATAGGAAAGTCAACTCAAATTCACACCTTTGTTGTTCACTGAAGTGCATACCCAGGGCTTCTTTTAACAAAATTACAGCATCCAGTGTGAGGGGTTTCCAAACATACACAGAGTAATTCAAAGATACAATATTTAATTGTGGTCCCTGAAGGTACAAATTTTGTGCACATGCCATAGAAAGTTGATTGTCTAGAGGAAGTGAATTCATTATGGTAAGATTATATTATAGAAGCACCCAACTGAACCTAGATCACAAAGCCTTATTAAACTGGATCCAGCAGCCAAAAGAAAAAATAATTTTCTTACTCTTTGTAGTAAAGCTGAGTTTTACTATATGACCTATATTGCATGCAGACTTCCTAACTAGACTAATTGCCTAGAAAGCATACATAACCCCAATAACATTGAAGAGCATGAAACTAGTAGGAACAACAAAACAAATGAAAGCAAATGAGACAAAGTCTCTTTGGGTAAACCAAAGTCAACTTAGTTGCTCAGTTACCCACTTTAACATCTCTCTTGAGGAGCCTAGTGAGCATTGGAGTTAATGTGGTACAGTAGAAAGTGCTGGGCTCAAAGTTGGGTAGGATTCTGATCCCAACTTGGCCACTTACCAGTGGTATGATCTTGAGCATCTTCATCTCTCTAGATCTCAATTTCCTCATCTAGTTGGAGTTAGTTGGACTAGATGACTAGCCTAGTCTAATCTTTAACTCTTAGGTCCCTTCTAGTTTTAAGATTGTGGAATTCTTTGTTGCAGAGTAGAGAAAAAACTTGAGTAACTACTACTTGATAAGCAATAAACATAACCTTTTGTTAAAGTTGTTCTCTTCCTTTGGCCAAGAAATTAGTATTTTTGAGATGAAGGAATATCATCATTCTGTGCAGATTGCATTTTCTTCTGTAATCATTGGATCTCTTAAAGGACTGTGTCATCTTTATGTCTTTGTGGACAGATAGAAAACAAAGGCTACTTTCAAGGATATACTTGATTTATTGGGAGTGTTTAAAATATATATATATATATATATATATATATATATACATATACACATATACTCATATACACATATACTCAAATTGTGCCAGGAAGCTTGAAAACTACCTTTGGAATGAGTTGTCAAATATGTATCACAACTCCAAATGAAAAATATGGTTTAAAATTTTCAAGAAAAAAAACCATACGTCAAAGTTTGAGGGGAAAAACAAAAAAAATTCAAATGGCTTGAGGTTCTTTCAGTTTGTTCCTTTTTTTAAGTTTTACATGATATGCTTGCATTTTAAGTTTCTTAACATTATTTTTGTTTGTTTTTTATGGTTTTAATGTGTCTTCCCACCCTCTCATTAACTTGTGAATGTTTAACCACTGATTTCACCAAATCTAATCCGTAAGTACTGTTTGGTCATGTGTTTGTTTCCCTAAAAAACAATTTTCCCAGAAGTTTGCATATCAGTTTATATACTTTTGCATATAGTAATATTTCTCCTTGCACTTAATTTAAAACACAAATCACACAATCTAAATTTAAGAAGTTTAAATAATATCACATTATTTACAACAAAAAAATAGCATTTGTGTCTTTCTATTAAAATGACTTTAAATCTGAAGGCTTTATCTCTAACTTGATATAGATGAATCAAGAAAAATGTGGTTTATCAGAAATTGTATTGACCTAGAAACCCAGAGAGTTGTCTCCTAGACTTGGCTTTGGCTCTGCCATTCATTAGATGTGTGATTTTGGAGTCTCTTAACCTCTCTTAGCCTGTTTGTTCCTATGTAAAATGAGAGAGTTGAACTAGATGATCTTCTAGGTCCCTTTCTCATTCTGAAATTCTGTTATTTGAAAAGCATATTTTTCCAAGAAATTATTATTACACTAGGTCCAATTTACCTATAAACACCTTAGAAAAGGCAGAGAGAGTTAGGGTTCAACATACTGAATTACTTAGCTTTATAATGTGTCCTTTTAATTTCTGATTTGTAACATGTATCTGGAGTTAGAGTTAGACCTAACTCTTACTTACAGCTAAGTCTAATACAGAGAAAAGAAATGTGAATAGAATAATTATATCCAGTTTGGCCTGTAAAATTGAATGACTCGTTTGTATGTACCAAACTTTGAATGAAAATGGTTAACAGATATAGCAGACACATATTACATTGCTAAATACAATTTCCTACAAACTAACAACTGATTCCCCCATTTGGGGGGGGGTTCACCCCACTGGGGCTTAAGAAAGCGTGTTCCATGAATATAATAATTTAAAATGAATGCAACAGCACTAATCCATTTTTAGTTTCTTATCCAAGGGTCCAAAGTAAACAAGCATGCTGATGATTTCCTTAACTCTCAGTGAGTCAAAAGTCTGCTTGATGTGTCTCCTTTATCTCCTTTTATCACTAATCCCTCTAACATGAAATTGTTCGAATTAAATATAGGGTGACAGTGAGCCCCTGAACTTGACACTAGAAATAAGAAAAAACAATCTAGTTGATTCTGGTGACCTCTAAGTGGCAAGGAAAATGCAGCTGATACTAATGGTAATTGGACTCACGTAGAGGACCAGGGACTCCTTTGCTGTGAGATTATACCACAAGTGCTTTAAATCAATAGCTAAGTTCCCCCTGGTTACCCTCTAGATCCAGCTGCCTTGGCAGCACAGAGCAAGTCTTCAGACGATATCATCAAGTCCTCCAAGTTCCCAGCAGCCCATGCTCCAGACCCCAACGAGATACCAAAGATTGAGACGGACCACTGGCCAGGTCCCCCCTCACTTGCTGCCGTAGGTATGCAAATGAAGCAACTAAATCAAATGGACAAGGTTCTAATGGTTCTAGTAATACACAGTAATGTATGAGAAAATTTAGCATGTTGGAAAATTTTTTAAGGAAAATGCCGAAAAAAAATTAAGGGACAGAAATAGAGACCAATGTGGTATTAATTTAGATGTAAAGTATTTGAAATTTCTCTTTCTAGATATACTAGAATCTGTTATAATTTAGTCTACTACAGCTCAGAATTTGATAAGAAGTTTATCCACATTGGATCCTATATCTAAAGAGTTTCTTATTGCAACTGCTAGAAAGATTTCATTATAATACTATCTCACCTATGACATAGCCCCAGATAACAATATGCATTGTTGTTGTATATAACTCTTGCTTAGAAAGATTGGCTGAACCCTTTCATAAGTGACTTCTTCCTGTATAAATTGTCTCCCAGTGTTTTGCTTTTGCATCTTAGCACCCAAACATTGTTTCATTTTTGGAATAGACCCTTTTCTTTAGAACCAGGAAAGACCATGGCACAGTTCATCGATGTTCAGGAAGCATCCTAATACAAGTAATGTTGGTTGCATGTCTTCACCTGCATCATTGTCACCAATTCCAAACTTTTTTCACCCGTGCAGTCATCCTTTAGCTGTTCCATTCATTGCATTTGAATTTAGTCAAAATATGTTTATATCTGTACCTTTGTGTCTACACAGTTGGCTTAATGAGGTGCTAACAAACTGAAAGGCCTAGTATTCAGAATTGGGGTGTCAGCAATGATAACGTGTGACTTAAATTTCTCTTTCCAAATTTCTGCAGTCATCCATTGCACAGGGTGCTGGATTTAGAGAAAAGAAGATCTGGGTTCAAATTCTTCCTCAGATGCCTGGAGATGACTCCAGGCAAATCACTCTAAGCCTGTTTTCTCATCTATAAAATATAGATAGTAGTAGCATCTGCCTCACAGGGTTATGGTGAGGTTCAAATAAAACAACATATGTAAAACTTTGCAAACCGTAAAGCATCACTTAAATGTGTTATTATTATCATCATTATCATCATCATCCAAAGCTTTCAGTTGTCCATTATGAAGGTATCTAATTTTCATCATCATATTCTTTTTACTTTTATGAGGCATCTTTTTAAAAAGAGTGTGCATGATTGTTATTTAAATGTATAAGAATGATTGAGGAGACAACATAGTGCAGTGGAGAATGTATTATTTCTGGAGTCAAAGGGAAATCTACTTGGCCAATTCTTTGTTGCTTCCATAAATCCATGATTTTATCAGTATGGGGTACTCCCCAGGGCAAAACCTGCCTTCCCAACTTATTTGAAAGTCTTCATAAGATGTAATAGACAAAAAACTTCATCACCCAGAGGCCAGCATTCTGGTGATGATGCTATTTGAGTCCAAATCAGAAGAATGTGGGCTAATCCATAGACAGTAGACCTACCCTATTTTTCAGCCTTCCTACTCAATACCCATCCAGCTTCTAGGACTTCCAAAGTTTGTGATCTGCTGACTTGGCCTTTGAGAACCCAGTGGCATCTCCTAACATGAGGAGGCTAGTAAAAAAATGAATAAACACTCCTTTTTTATTGTCTAAAGATGTCCTGTAAAATTGAGTTATCTCTCTGCATCTTTAGATTTTTATCTCTTTAGTGCATATTAGCAAATCCCACCTCAGTACGAGGCATGCTTAGTGGACAGTCAAGGCTAGTCTTTAACTTTCTCTAACAAATCATAAGTCTTCAAGAAATATCCTGGAAGTTCATCACGTTGACTCTCAACTAGCTAGATGTCCCAAGAAAGAATTTTTTTAAAAACTTAGAGGGTAGAAGACGTTAATAGAACATGATTTAAAGCTTTTTAAAAAGCTTTTAATTCATTTACCAGAGTATAAAGAACTAAGACTATTCATTAGTCAAAGTTTATTTTGATTAAATAACTAGGATCTCCTGTTTGCCTGCACAGATTCATCCAAAGAGTTCAGGAAAACTTAACCCAGTCTTCTAACCACTCAGAGAAATTCACTCCTAGGAGACTAGGAAAACTGAACATGACATGCCACACTTGATATGGAAGTAGATGCATAATTTTGTGGCCCTCACACAGACTAGAATTTTATTTTCGGTTATAGAGAAACTCATTTATGACCATTTTTCAAAGGGCCAAGAAAAAGAAAGTGTTAATAGTGGAGAAATACCATAAGTTACCTGTGTAAGTCAGGACTTTCCAAGAATAAAAATTTAGACAATATAATGAGAATAAGTTTTATGTAATGACTATATTGTGAGTGAATATATTCAGGAAGAGAGAAATATTTCAGACTATTAATTTTTTTTCCTCTAAAGAAATGCTTTAGGGGGCAGCTAGGTGACGCAGTGAATAGAGCACCAGCCCTGAAGTCAGGAGGACCTGAGTTCAAATCCAGCCTCAGACCAAACACTTGACACTTAACTAGCTGTGTGACCCTGGGCAAGTCACTTAACCCCAATTGCCAATAAATGAACAAACAAACAAACAAACAAATAAATAAATACATAAATACATAAAATAGATGCTTTCATTCCCTAAGCAGTACTTGAATCCCTAATACATAGATCAAATATAGGTTTATGATGATTGACAATATGTATTCGTAAACAGAAACTCCCTATAGTTGACTTAAAGTATAGTTGCTTAGAACCTTCTGACAACAAGAATGAAGCAAATTCCACTCATATATATCACTTGGTGGGAGACCAAAATCTCTATCCTTCTGGCATAGTAGTTGTACTCACATAGCAAATTGAATGAAAGCCCAATAAAAAAAAAATAGTTAGGCACTTGTCTGCAGTACTGAATGTAAATAAATGATTTTTTTTGAAACCTAGTGACTTAGTTCAATTGCATGTGTACATTGGAGGTGGCCAGGGCAGCCAAGAGAGGGTGGATTTTTCCCTGGCTGGTTTAGGAATGTTACTTAAGGAACACTACTTGGTAGTGTTGGCTTGGTAACTATTACTAACTTACCAAAGATAAGCAGACTAGTCCTTTAGAATTCTTTCTTGTGGCAGGACTTTTGTAAGAAGTTCTCTTTACTATGGAAATAGGAACGGATATGAGGCGCAGATCAAGTGGTCGTGAGGAAGATGAGGAGGAGCTGCAGAGACGCCGACAACTTCAAGAAGAGCAGCTATTGAAGGTCTGTCATCTGAGAGGCTGCTTTATTGCTTTCATTAAATTCTTTCAGAAATGGCCTGAGAAATAACTACAATTCACTAGAAAACACCTTCAAGTTTCATTCACTTTCATTTTTCCATTCCATTCAAATAGCTCAACTCAGGTCTGGGGCAATTGATACTGAAGGAAGAAATGGAAAAGGAGACCCGGGAAAGGACTTCCCTTTCAGCCAGTCGCTATGATTCACCACTTAACTCATGTGAGTAGCACTTCCATGGACTTCCGAAATTGGACTTTGAGTCCATATGAACGTTATCTTATCTTTCATCTAATACAACATAACTTTACCATTTGATAAGCCAGTAGTTGCTCTGGGACAGAAAGGTGTAGACTACATGATTTCTGTCTCCCTGATTAGGTCCATTCATCTGAGTCCTACAGTGACTTTGTTTTTCAACAGTTGTTCTGTTCTTTCATCTATTTCCTTACGTTTGTACTGCCAACCAATTCTCATGTTCAGTGTTCTTTCCCTCCTTGCTTTTCAAGGCTAAGCTGATTCTGAGTAGCTCAGCAATGATTCCTAGGTGAGCCCTAGTGAACTGTTTAATTGGACAGGTCACATCACCAAGGCAGACACAATCTACATTACATTCAAGAAAATCACCAGAATGGCACAGAGTTTGGGTCTTTAATAGGAACAAACTGGAATCAAGAAATCCTCAGAAATCAGAAGCCACCCCAGGCAGGCATAGGGGAAATTTCATGAAGAAAAAATTTTGCTCTCTTTTTTTTTACCTTTTCTCTCCTTTACTCTTCCATTCATGTTATCTAACTGCTTTTCCAAAACTCTAGCCATGATTACTCTCATTATTACTCTCATTACATTATTATTATTGTTATATTAGTATTATTCTCATGATTACTTACATTCACTCTCCTACTCTGGAAGCCAGAAAAAACTGAAAGTTGATAATGGCATCCTGTATTTGCTCTCTTTCCCTACTATTTGAATTTTTTACTATTTGAATAGATGTTTTTTTTTTAATTTTGGAATGTAGATTTCTTTCAGAATTCTTTGTGTATGTGAGAATTATTTGTATCTACATATATCTACACACACATACACACACACATATACACACGCTACATGAGATGTCCCAAAAGTCTTCATGCATTTTAATCTATTAAAGCTTAATAATTTTCTCTTTTTTGTGACAGTATTTATTATTGTTAGCTATGGCCTCCTACTAGATACTTTCTGCTCCCTTGTCTTTGAGAAATCACCCTGGTTTTCCCCTTACTTCTATAACTTTATCCTTTCTGCAGTTGCTGGCTCTTCCTTCTTTTCATGAGTCCTCATAGTAGGTATTTCTGAAGAGATTGCCCTGGGTCCTGTTGTCTCTACATTCTTGCATTGTCTGCCTTGGCAATCTCATCTGGTTCCAAGGCTTCAACTCCCACTGCTAATGTAAAGAACATGTGTGCGTATACATATTTACAAATACAAGATCTAGCATTATTTGCAAGGTAGAATTCCTAAAAACTTGGCCAGTGTAATACGGCTGAAACAAGGATGCCCCCTTTACTTGCTGTTATTTAACAGTTATAGAAATATATTAAAGAAATATTCAAAGAAAAGACAAAATCATTCCTATTTGCTGGGGATGTCATGCTATACTTAGAAAACCCCCAAAATTCAGAAAAAATTGAAACAATCCTTAGCTGTAGTACACAACATAAATCCACATAAATCAATGATATATTTTTCCATATATAGGTTTCTTGTACGTATGTGTTTGCTTGTCCTCCCCTCCTCCATTAGATTGCAAGCTCCTTTGGGCAAGGACTTTTTGCCTCTCCAGCACTTAGCGCATTGCCACACAGGTGCTTAATAAATGTTTTTTGACTGACTACTAACAAAAATAAAAAAGAAACAACAATGAAAGAAATTCTGTTCAGAATAGCTACAAAATGCATAACCTGTCTTTTGCTCTGCCAAATTTGCAAGCAGATATTTCATGCATTATCCTCAACTCCTTACTCTCTCACTCCCTATCTAATATGTTAATTTTACCTTCATAACATCTCTCACCTATGTCCCCTTTTCTCTTCTAACACTGTCGCTGCCCAGGTGCGGGCCACTCCAACCCACACCTGGACTATTACAATAGCCTGCTGGCTGGTCTCCTTACCACAAGCCTCTCCCTGTTCCATTCCATCCTCTACTTAGCTGGCAAAGTGATCTTCCCAAAGCATGTGTCTGAACATGTCACTGCCCCCCCCATGTCCAATAAACTCCACTGCCTCCCGTTTTCCTCCAGAATTGTGTATAAAATCCTCTGCCTGGCATTCAAACCCCTTCATAATCTACCCTATCCCACACCTTTCCAGTTTTCTTATACTTTACACCTCCCAACATAATACGCAATCCAGTGACACTGGCTTTCTTGCTGACTCCCTGCCTAGAATACTCTCTCACCTCATTTCTCCCTCCTGTATTCTCTGGGTTCCCTCGAGCCCCAGCTAATATTCCACCTTCTATAGGAAGTCTTACCTGATGTCTCCCTTCAATTGCCTTTCCTCTATTGAGTGTCTCCAATTTATTCTATATATAGCTTGTCTACACATTATTGTTTATGTGCTGTCTCTACCATTTGACTGTGAGCTCCTTCAGAGCATGAACTGTCTTTTGCCTTTCTTTGTTACCCCTAGTACTTAGCACAGTGCTTGGCACATAGTAGGTACTTAATAAATATTTATTGACTGACTGACTGCTGTGGATAGTGTTGAACTTGGAATCAGGAAAACCTGAGTTCAAATTCCACCTCAGATACTTAATAACTGTGTGACTCCAGACAAGTAACTTAACCTCTTTCAGACTCATTTTCCTCATATGCAAAATGAGGATAATAATGGCACCTATATCTCATCCTTGTGAGGATAAAATGAAATAACATATCTAAAGCACTTGGCAACCCTTAAATTACTATATAATTGCTCGCAATTTAATATTGTTGTTGTTGTTGTTGTTATTATTATCATTATTATGGAACTAGGCAAAACAATAAATTCATTTGGGCCAGCAAATGGCCGTGAATCTCAAGGGAAATAAAGAGAAAGGAACAAATGAAGGGCATAGCTTTAACAGACATTAAAATATAAGGCAATGTTCATGAAAACATTTTGGTACTCGTTTAGAAAAACAAACAGAAAAGTAGATGGGTAAACAGACTAGATAAGCAAGAAAGAAGTCATTCAAACCAGAAAGTCAGTGTTTGATGAACCCAACCTGTCTTTCCAGCCTTATCTACTATGACTGCCCTCCATTGACGGGACAAATCCAGTCAAACCAGATTATTTTCGTCCCTTAAACCAGTCCTGCATTTTTCTTTTCCATGGCTTTCCTTGTGCCATTCCTTGACCTTAGAATACTTTTATCCCTGTTATGTTTAATCTTTTTAGATTAAGTCCATAGTTTGGAACTGTTGAGATCCTTCTGGATCCTGACTATGCCATCCACTGGATGAGCTAACCCCTCCTAGCTTTGTGCCATCTGCAGATCTGATAAGCATGTTATCTATGCCTTTATATAAGTCATTCATAGATTTGTTAAACCTCACAAGGCCAAACAGAGTTCCCTTGGACATTCCTATCTCTTTATTTAAGGGGTAAGGATTCAGAGAGGTTAAGTGATCAGTCTCCGTTCACAAAGCTAATACACAGCAACTCGTGGATTCAAACCCGGATCTTCTGATTACTGGTTTAGTCAGTATTTTTTACCTTGCCTGAGTACATCTATGGATCTGTTATCTCTTTATCATGAGTACTCACTATGATCATACAAATCACAAATCCTTGACATCTTATTCCATGTACTTTTTCTCCGTCTCTTTCCGTAAAGCCTTCAGACTATCTATCTACTAGAGACGGTCTAATTCTTTTGAAGTTTTGTGTACACCAGGGCAACCTTAGGCTCTCTGCCCCAATCTATCTTTGTTCTAGTGTCTTCCCTCTATTAATTATTTCCTATTTATCTCCTGCATATAGCTTGTTGTATATAGTTATCTGCATGCACTCTCTTCCTGTGAGCTCATCGAGGGTAGGGACTATTTTTTATCTTTCTTTGTATCCCCAGCACTTAGCACAGTGCCTAGCATATAGCAGACACTTACTGACTGACTGACAGACTTTCCATCTCTCACTTTTGCTATATGACTAGCCTACCTTCTTTTCTACTTTTCTGACTCTTCTCACACATCATAATTGGGAACATGCTACAGTCTATTTACACTCACAGTGGGAGTTTTGTTGCCCTTTATGGCCCACGTAATTGTGATTATTCTAAGATTTTGATGTTCTTTGGATCACAGCTTTTATAACATTAACACATCAGTGTCATATTGAGGTTTTAAAAAAAAAAGATGAGATCTTATAGCAGGGAGTAGCTTGGGTATTATTGAAAGAGCTTCATGTTGGGGCAGCTAGGTTCACAGTGGTTAGAGCACCAGCCCTGGAGTCAGGAGTACCTGAGTTCAAATCCGGCCACAGACACATAACACTCACTAGCTGTGTGACTCTGGGCAAGTCACTTAATCCCAATTGCCTCATGTAAAAAAAAAAAGCTTCACATTTTTCCAAATACCATCCAGTCTAATATCTTCCTCCAATTCAATCCTGAGCCCCAGTTCATTATCCAGCTGTAATGCTGTCCAGAATATATTTACTGATAGAGTGTCTCAGTGGCTAAAAAAATTCACTTTTTAAAAATCTACTATCATACAACTCTAGAGGCATAACTACCTGTATTTTTGGTAAAGCAGCCACCATCCTGGGAGGTGGAAAGGATGGTGACAGTCACCACACTGAAAACAGCCATGTGTTGCCAACAGAGCCCATAAAGAAGAGAGTGATGCAATAAACATTTTCCATTATGTCAGTATGGGGATCACAGAATCCGTGATTTCACCTGCATACTAACTCCTTTCACCAATAAAGATAAGTATTAGACAGTTGGTTACCAGAGGATCAGAGAGATTAAATGACTTGCCAGCAATCACACAGTAGCAGTGGCAGGATTTGATCCCAGATTTTCCTAATTCCAGATACAGGACTCTGCACTGCACCACTCTGCCTTTCCATTGTTCATTTCTTCAGCAAACTTTTAGTAAGGGCCTGCTGCACACAGAGCATCATATATTTAGTAACATAGGAGAGCTATGGAGTCTCATCTCCTGCCTTCATGGAGCTTACAGACTAAGAGAATAAGACATCAGCACAGATAACTAAATGAAAAAAAATTGCACAATGAGCCCACTAAAGAGTTGTGAAGCACAGTTTTAATACAGTTTGAAACAGTTTGCCCACTATGGTGTCAGACGTGTTCTCTCTTAGTTCAATAAATAAATTTCTCCATGAGGATTAACATCTTTATATCTCAGATGTACTTAAAGCTGCACTCCCTCCAGAGCTTGATTGGCACCACTCATTTTATTTTATTTAGTATTTTCCCCAATTACATGTAGAAACAATTAATATTTGATTTAAAAAATTTTTAGTTCCAAATTCTCTCCCTTTCCCCCTTCCTCCTCACCCCCGAATTGAGAGGGCAAAGCAATTTGATATAAGTTATACACAAGCAGTCATGCGAAACATATTTCCATGTTAGTCATGTTAGTACCATTCTTGAATTGGACACCAGAATCCCTGGGTAATAAAACAGAACATCTTTGAAGATGAAAGAAACCTCAGAGCCCAGGAGTTCTCTCCCCTTTTGTGTCACAGACTCATTTGAGTCTGGTAAAGCCTACGGACCCCTTCTCAACATAAAATAAAATCAATGTGATTATAAAAGAAACTAATTATTGAAATAGTTATTAAAATATTTTATGTCCTTTTTTAAGGCTCAGGTTAAGAGCCTCTGATCTACTCCCATCTATCTTTTTTTCCTTTTTCTTTCTTTCTTTTTTTTTGTGAGGAAATTAGAGTTAAGTGACCTGCGTAGGGTTACACAGCTAGTATCATCAGGTCCTCCTGAATTTGAACTCAGGTCCTCCTGAATCCAGGGCCAGTACTATCTACTGTGCCACCTAACTGCCTTTACTTCCATCTATCATAGCAAAAATAATAAAGCACTTGTGCTTTTATATGTCACTTTCCCTTAACTTTTTGCTCTTTCAGGGCATCAACTGACAACTCTGTCTGGAAGTGTCTCACGACTGACCTTTGCAGTCAGACTATTTAGTAGACAATTGTAGTCTATAGGGATTCAATTATGTCTCTACCCTAGGAAGAAAAGCACATTTCTTTCGAATTCTGTCGTCTTTTATATGTGTTCCTCCAAATGTTGAATTATTTGTTATTAATTTTTGACAAATAAGTGATGACTATTCTCATAAATGAATGAATGAGCAAATGAATATGCTCTAGATCAGAGCTTCACAAGTGGCATATAATGATTGACCAGTAGTATTTGGTGACTGATGAGATGGATGTCCAAGCAACTTGAAAGGAATGCTTATAGGAAGGGTAGTTTAGCCAAGAGTCCTGTTCCTCCAGTAAGGTGTGAGTACCTCTATTCCTCCTGCTCAGACATTTCACTGTTATCACTCTCCATGTAGTAAACAAATAGCGTTCTGTTTGGTTAGTGATTGGTCCAAATGTCATTTATTTCCATATCAGAAATAGTCGTTTGGAACTTTGAAGAATTTCTTTTTTACGTGAAAAATTTTCAACTTTCTAAAATTTTCTTGGTTTTTTTTCCCTCCTGTTTAGCTCCACATGCTTCATCTAAAACCTCCTCCCTCCCTGGTTATGGAAGAAATGGTCTTCACCGGGTAAGTAAGGTTTCTCTAGTTCTCCAGAGATAACTTTAATATTCCTTGTCTTGAAGGTTGATAATCAGTTTGGTTCAATACAACAATCATTTATTTAGCACCTACTGTGTGAAACTCTCTAATAGGTTCTGGGGAGCAAAGATAAAACAAATCCATCTTAACCTTCTTAAATTTTAGTTAAAATTGTTATGTGGTGTTATTTGAATGCATGTTAATTTGTTAGTGGTGACAAATAATTTTAAAATTTCATTAATATCTTTTGTTTTTATACCTTTTTAATACTACTTTCCTATAAATACCAATATATACACATTGAACCTTCCCTTGTAACAACAAAAAAAGCAAAACCACTTGACAGTGTGACTACATCTGACAGGGTATGCAACATTCCACACCTCTGGTCCCTGCCTCCAAACTAGGAGTAGGGAGTTGGCTTGAATCATCCGTCCTCCAGAATGATGAGACTGGTCATTACCATTCATTGTTGTTCAGCTTCCTTTTTTAGGATGGCTTTCATTTTCATTGTTAAAACCATTACACAAAGTGATTTTTAAACTGCTATCACCATGAATGCCTAGTATATCTACTTTTAATCTAAGACCTGGAAAAATCTCATTACTGAGAAAAGAAAAGAAAATGACATTAGACTTCCACAGGAAGTTCTATGTAAAGAGAAGAGATCAAACATTCCTCTTGCAAATATTTATATAATTAGGAAGCAAGCACTGAACAAAGAAATAAAAAATTGTGTTATTACATTCTCCTGACATAACAAAGCATAGGTGTTAAACAGTTGCAATTGTGAAACTAAGTAGAAAAATGTATTTTTCCTTGTGACCAAGAGCTGCTCATCTATGAAACCTCTTAACAGCATAGTTAGATCACTACTTACGGTCAAGATTTCAAAGTGTTGGGACAGTAAGACAATTAGAAAAATGAAGATGATCAGATGGTCTTAGTTTGTGAAATACTCTTTTTTTTTTCTTTTGGCTAGGCCTTGAGGTTAAGTGACTTGCCCAGGGTCACACAACAGTAAGTGTCTGAGGTCGGATTTGAACTCAGGTCCTCCTGACTCTAGGGCTGGTACTCTATCCACTGTTCCACCTAGCTGCCCCAAGTATTCTTTTGAATTCAATATCTCTTCCCTCTTTTCACCCCTTTCTCTGAAGTGTTACTATGACATATCGTCTCACACATTTCTCCCTTTTGCAGCCGGTTTCTACAGATTTTGCCCAATACAATAGCTATGGTGATGTCAGTGGTGGGGTTCGAGGTAAGCCTTCCTACATCAGCATTTTCTGGTGTCTATGAATAGCTGTCATTCATGCTTTTTTTCCCATGGGGAATAGTGATTGGAATATAAAATTCTATTATAGAGAATTTTTTTGTTCTATAAATAGACAGTACGGCGTAGTACCTAGTGAACTGGTCAGAAAGACAGGTGCAAGTCTTACTTCTGACATACACTATGAGACTCTGGACTAATCTGTGAACTTTTCAAGGACTCACACACCTCTCTAAGGCTATAAGTTGCAGATCAACTGCTATCTACATTGGTAGAGGGAGATTTCTCATCATATGAATGAAATCATAGGACAAGTTCAAAATTTATGCATATACATAATACATGAGTGTATATATGTATATATATATATATATATATAACCATGTATGTCTTATGTATTATAAAACAATATATGTATGTGTGTGTAAGTAATAAATTGATTGAGAGAAAAATAAACATTACTTTGGATTTGGTTGGGGGCATAAGGGGTGGATTTTTTTGCCATTTTGTTTAGTTTGGTTTTGAAATAATACTCATCATGTGTATGTATTGAGGTGTTTCTACTTATGGAAGATTATAAAAGCAAGAATTAGCATAGTGGTAATAACATATATATCTCTTTGTGAGCTAGTGAAGTTAACACTGAAGAAATCCCAGAGAAATGCTAACAGTATCAGGTGAAGAGAGCAAATTTGTTGAAATTTAGATTGAAATATGTTCTTTCTGTTGATCAGTTCACATTTTTATGTTCTTATTCTGATGATATTTTATTTTATTTTCCAGATTTCCAGGTATACAGTGATTTTTTTCTTCTACTGTGACAACATATATGCACCAGCCATCCTTCTATCCAATTGTGAAATGGTCCTTCATGGAATAGTTCTTCTTAATGAGATGTTATTTTCTATTTATCTGCATATTTGAGCCTAATATTCAGTCTGTATTGGCAAGAGATAGTTGTATCTAGTGCTATAGGGTGTCTTGGTAGTGAGTCCCATATCAAACAAAGTGAAGTAAGGCTTGCATTTCTCTTCCTTTGGAAAGGCCCCTCAAATGCTAAACTGTGCCATCAATGAGTATCCATCCCTATACATCTTTCTTTTAACAATAATACTTGACATCTGGGCCTGGGATCACTAGGTCTTCCTTCTATTGCCAGGTCCCAACAAAAAAGAAGTTCAGAAGGGGCTCCCTTTTTTAGTATTCTGTGACCCCTGTTATCCTGTAAGTTTTCAGCCTTTCTCCATTCACATCTATGTATAAACTAGAAATAACTAATTCTTTAGCCCACAAAAGAAACCCTTGAATGGTACCATCCAGGAGCAGGTTACTCTCATGACATTGCTTATTCTCAAAGCCCAAACCTTCTAAAATGGAGATGAGATACAAATAGACAAAATGGAAGAGAACATGACATCAGAATCATAGGTCAAGTTGTCCTCATGTTGTGCTGGTAGAATACAAGGCAGCAGTTACCCAATTGTACTGCTAGCTACATGTGTGCCTTTGAGCAATCCATTTCCCCCCTTCTCTGGATCTCAGGTTCTTCCTCTTTTAACTTAGGGGATTGGAAGAGATGCTTCCTGAGGTCCCTCCCGGTCCTAGTATTCTGCTCTTTGGTGATTCTGTATGAATGGGCAATGTTATATAGATAGAGCACTGGACTTAGAGTCAGGAAGATCTGGTTAAAATTCCACTATAGACACTTATTAACTGTATGTCCTTAGGTGAGTCACTTAACTACTTTCAGCCTCTGTTTTCTAATTTGTAAAACTAGGGAACTGAACTCAATGACCTCAGATATCCCTTCCAGCTCTAAATATATGGTCATAGGAGATCTGAATTAACAGGTCTCATACTTTGCATTAATAAATGTTTGTCGATTGACAGGAGATTGATAGGGGTGTGGTTCTCATGGAAGCATGAGATGGTTTCTAGCTCCTCCCATAGGTAATTTAGAGCATGTCAATACTTTGTGTGTGTGTGTATATGTGTGTGTAAGGCAATCAGGGTTAAATGACTTGCCCAGGGTCACACAGATAGTATCAAGTGTCTGAGGCTGGATTTGAATTCAGGTCCTCCTGATTCTAGAGCCAGTGCTCTATTCACTGCACCACCTAGCTGCCCATGTCAATACATTTTTAAGAAAGAGAATTAGATGCTATTCCTTGAAAGTAGATACCTTTCATTAAAGACAGGATCTTTGGAATACTGCTGGTTGGTACAGAAACAGAAAAAATGGAAGAGACATACCCATAGTCACTTTTTTTTTAATGGCAGCTGAGATTTTATTTGTGTAAACTGGCAGTGATTTTCAGAGTGAGAGAGGGAACTGTAGAGGTAAAACTGTCTTCTATTTTCACCATGCCTTGCATACATTTCCTACTATGTGTATTATCTTATGCCTCTGTGTCTGATATAGACCCTCCCTGATGGCCATGTACCTGGAATGAGAATGGACAGAGGAGTGTCCATGCCTAACATGTTGGAGCCAAAGGTAAATGTAGATGTCACAGACTATCCTTTGAGACAGTGAGAGTTTGGTTGTCTGGGAAAGGCAGATTTGCCCTTAAAATAAAAATTTTAAACTCCAGTATTTTAATCCTCTTCCTCTTTGCCATGCACGAAATCTACTCGCTTTCCTAAAGCATGGGCTTGACCCCCAAATCATATTATACTAGATTTTGAGTCCCTTGGCAGTAAGGGCCATGTCTTATTTATCTTTGAGCACTCTGCCACACATACTAGTCACTTAATAATTGTCATGAATTTTTAAAATAAATCTGTGGAAAAGCACCACACTGTTTACACATTTGGTTCTACCTAGTGAACAATTTTAAGTACTTGCTAGATGCTTCTAGGGAATCTGCAGGATTATGTGTTATAAGCTAGCACTGCTACCACCGTTTGGTAAATGATTGGCTGACCCTTTCACCTGCACCAGTGGAAGAATCAAACATACCTTTTTGTGTAAAGCCCTGTGTGATAAAACTAGAGATCTGACTTGAGGAGAGGAGGGGCTACTGTTACTTTGAAATACCAGTATGGGAAACGTTGTATCTCTGGCCTAGGGCAAGGAGAAACAGTAACTAGGAAATTCTATCTTTGAGAGAACCCTCTTTCAGGCAAAGCTAAGAGTAATACAGGTTCCCCATAAACAAACATTGTTTTCCGAAGTGGCAAAAACTCATGATATAGATAAAAATTATGTAGCTTTTGTTTGTTTGGTTTTTTAGCCCCTCCTACCACAGCCCTATCATGAGTGCAAGAGAGGAGAGCTATTTTTAAGAAGATAGGAATCACAATAAATGTGGTGGAATGTTAGTTATGGATTGGCATACTTAGAAAGTCTTTATGGTTCAGTACTTGGCACATAATAAGCACTTAAGTGCTTGCCGTTGGACTAGCTGAATCATCCATTCCTTCTAAAAGGTTCCTTCACAAAGTTAATCCACCCCCAGATGAAAAGCAAAAGCCAAGTACTGAGGCATTGCTCCTCCCCTACATGCATTTCCAGATTCAGATAGAATATCTGAATTTTTTCCAATTTCTTTTTCTGCACTGTTGAATTTTGCCTTGATCTTCCTTCACTGGAGTTGTGACCAAGTGTTCACAAGCCATTCCAAATATTCTAAGTTTATAGTACAGTTAAAATGAAGACTCAGACCTACACAAAAGAATAAAGTCATTTTCAATTTTTCAAGAATCTGCTTCTGTGTCTGACCTAACACATCATCTTACTGAAGAGAGAAATGGAAAGTGTGACTAAGATGCTTTATCAGATTCAGAAGTTTTAAAAGCTGTAAAGCTAATTGGCATTAAGCCATGTCACTTACCTTTAGTTGTACAGACACTATAAAAATACCAACTCTACCATAGTCCATTTCCAAAATTTCTGAAGCTAGCAAGTGAGTAACACTACAGTGAAGTTGTACTGCTCTCTTCCATTTGGATGAGGAGGAAAGCTATTCCAGGATATTCATGTGAAATCGATTATGTCTGCAACGATTGCATTACCAAACAAAAAAATCTTGTTACCACTAGTAGTAGAAAAGGACCCTTCTTGGGTTAAAAATAATGTTTGAGTCATGGGGAAGGGAGCCTTTTGCAGTAAAAATTTAAACTTCTTTTTCCTTAATGCAACTATTAACAGATTTTCCCATATGAAATGCTCATGGTGACCAACAGAGGGCGGAACAAAATATTAAGAGATGTAGACAGAACCAGGCTTGAGGTAAGAACCAGTTTCCCTGTAACTGCTACCCTTTTATTTTTTCTCCTTCCTACCCTTCTTCTTCTCCTCCCCTACCCAGTTCTCATCCTAAAAAACTTCTTAGCTGTTTAGCAAAAAAGAAAAAAAATAGTATCTTAAAATTTGCATGTGATTCTGAGTTAACTTGGAAGCAAATAAGAGATTTACATGGAAAGTGCCTACCGAAACCTCACAGAGAACTGTCCAGACAGTTATGTCCTACTGTATATGGGGCTATAAAAGCCAGCCAGTCTTTGGACTCTTTAGACCTCTTTGGGCCAACTGACTGTCATGACTGACAGTCTTTACAAGAGTAAAGACGCAAACAGCTAAAATGTGACCCTCTAAAGGAGACTGTACAGGATGAATGATAATGATGGATGTAAAAACCTGTACCCTAATGCCTAATGAAATGAGGAAATGTATATGAAGTTTTTTGCATACTTTAAAGGGATAGGGAGTGGATCTGTGATTTCTTGAATATAGAGAAGTCTCAGGTAAAAAACCTTTTCTACCAATTCAGGTCAGCACCTTCTCCAAAACAATTTTTAAATGATAAAATTATTTTTTTTAATTATCAAGAATTTATATTTTTCTCTCTCTCACTCAACACCCTGAGGGGAAACCTCTTTTAATAAATATGCATGAAACCTATAGTTTTACAGAGTTGCCTAGAGCACTCAGAGGTTAAGTGACTTGCCCAGAATCAGACAACAAGTAAATATCAGAGGGAGAGACTTGAAGCCAGGTCATCCTGGCTTTGATTGCAACTCTCTTTATACTATACCACCTTGCTTTTTGTAACCTTTAAAGCTCTAAAGAAATGTCAATTCTTGATGATGATGATGATGATGATGATGATGATTATCAACTACTACCTAGCTCTTCCTGGTACCCACAGAATGGGGTGTCTATTCAGAAAATGGAAATTTTTCAGGAGTTAGTTTGGCCTGCTTATTAAAGGAAACTGTAGCTGAGAAGCAAAGCTCTATAAAATGAATGATTCTCATTTGAAATTCAGACCCAGATAAGAAAAATAATGTCCTCTTTTGAGAGGTGCTAAAATCTTAACTCACATACAGTTGTAGTCAAATGTAGCAGTGGCAGCTCAGATGCTAAGATGAGCTCAGAATTAAAGGGTGTGGGAGGGGAGATACTGATTGCACCCAGGGAATGTTAGGGCATGCTTCTCTGTGGAAGTCCCCACATTCCATGTTAAAGTGTTATTTGAGCACACATGCCCATGGCAGCTTTTTGTGTTTTTCTAAATGACTGATTTCAATCAAGGAAACCTATGTATGTTGGCAGAAAAGTTTTGCAGCTTTTCTCTGTCTGAGGGCAGCCACCTGTCTAAAGTAGAACTGTCATCCCATGAAGGCAGCAGATGATCAGCAGGCATTATAAAGTACCTACTCTGTGCCATGTGCTATACTAAGCACTAGAGATACAAGATCAAAGAATGAAGCCATCCTGCTATCAATTTAATGAACCTGGGTACTGGCTACTCAGTGTCAGAATTATCCTGTTTCACAAATGTCTTGCTAGCTAGTTTTATGCTGACTGGACAGGTAAGGGCAAAAATCACCAGACTCTAAAGGGCACATGGTGTGAGCCAGCATCAAGAGCTAAAATAAAACTACAAACACCTCTAACATTTCGCAGGCCACTGTAGTGCTCTTTGGTGACAGAGGAGGGTTTGCCAGTCTGGTGTTCTCACATGGCATCCAGAACTAACCCTTGTTTGTTTCTCTCTTGTCCAGCGCCATCTGGCACCTGAAGTGTTTCGAGAAATATTTGGAATGTCAATACAGGAGTTTGACAAGTTACCTCTATGGAGACGTAACGACATGAAGAAAAAAGCAAAACTCTTCTAAGACACATCTGCCCACCAATTTGAAAAGTTAATGAGGATGCTGCATAGGGTGTAGTATTATACAATGGCCACGTTTGATTGGAGAACTTACAAACTACTTCTCCACAGCAACAACAAAAAGGGAAAAATCTGATTGAGGCACCCGCGACCTAAGCATTGGCCCACCAACAGCAACACTTGCCAAGAAGCAACGGGGTGAAACGTCACAGGTTCCAAAACTTGACAGTAGTTTTCATGTGTGACCTTTTTACATTATCTTCTGTACATGATTTGAGCCACTTTCTTATTTTGTTTCCCTCTAACTGTTGTCCAAAAATATGACAGACTGTATTGGTCAAGCCAGGAAGTGCCCTTAAGATGCTGAATGGGGGGAAAAAAGTAGTTATAATAACTCCAAAAAATGATTATCTGTATTACAGTACTGTGGTTAAGAAGGAAAAAAAAACCTGTGTAACGTATCCATATGGTAACATTATTCATATTGCACAAATGTTTCTTAATTGGCCTCATTTAAAACTGCCCATTCTGTAGTTGTAATAGAAATCAGAGGCAGGCACCTGAGTAAACTACTCCTTTGGGCTGCTTACCAGTGGAATGATTTTAAATGTGTTCCTCATTCTCCGCTGCACACATTTGCTAGGATGTGGTTGGTGAATTTCTGTGCGTTTGTAAACAGTATTTCTCTCTCCTCACTTTTTTTTTTTGCTTCAGATTACTTAGCTTAAGCTTAACCTACCCAGCAAAGGCAAGTAGCAAACCTGAACCCAGCTTGCAAAAAGAGAGGAGGGAAAGCTCTCCTTAAGATTGGCCTGGGTTACATGCTCTTTGGGGACCCATGCCACCAAGTTCCCCCAGAAAGCACACCACGTTATAGAAAATAACACTTCATGTTGTTCGCCAATGCAAATGTGCTAGCCTGGCATCTTCCATATAGTATGTGACACATGACACATCCTATCAAGCTGAAGGTCATTTCAACCATAGGCTAAGGAAGGATGTATTTTCTCTCTTTCATCTTGGCAGTTGTGAAGCAGAAAGTTTTGAATTTCCTCAATTGAAGACGAGAAAGAGGAAGTTGCTTTCCTTTGTGCATCATACTGTTGACCTCATGATTTTAGGATAAAAATCACTGAACATAATTTTTGAATCATGTGTTTCAAAAAATTTCATTACTGCATGAATGCTGTAGTTTTTGAAGGATATGTAATGAAATATACGGGGGGTGAGTCGTTTCTGTAGAAGGATGAGTTTATTCTACTCCATTCTTCTGTCCCCTGGTGAAAAGTGAGATAGGATATAAAGCCTTTTAACTTTCTGTTGGCACATGTAAGCCACAGTATAATAATGCACTGATATAATTACCCATCTCTTGCTTTGAGTGACACCCAAATTCTGGCTACAGAGCAAAGAATTAAGATAACTTTGTAACTTGACAGATCAAGCCATTCCCCCTTGATGTTCAAAGTCTTGTTAATAGGAAATATATCTACATGTACACTTACTAAAATGGGTATCCAGGAATCCCCTTGAAACTTGAATAGAATTCAGTCAGATTAGCTGATCATCTTAGATCACACCTCATACTGAACAAGAGCCATTCAGATTTGGCTCATTGCCACTGGGCTCCACTGAAACCACTGGTGCAGGAATCAAAACATAATTTTGAAGGTACCTATAGATGTTAAAGGAGAAAGTGTTTGAGTTATCTGCAGGAGTGCCATTTTTGGCAAGAGATTGGGGATTCTGCTCTACACTAGGTTGGGAATAATATTAGTTATCTGTCATGCAGCCTATGGTGGAAACAAATAGATTTGTTTTCCAAATGGGCACTGTGTGGAAGGCTACAAGGGGAAATACTGTGTGGGTACAACACACTTAAATGTACTAGGTGCTACAGTAGGAAGTAGAATCCATGTATAGTGGTCTTTTTATTTACTAATCTAGTTGAAGCCATCTAATTGTATTGTACCTTCAGAACCATGGAGTGAATATTCAAGGACTGTTCTTGCATCTATGTGTCTATGTATGTATGTATGTATGTATATCTTAGCTCTACTAAATCACTTAACAAACTGCTCCTGTGCTAGTCATACTGGGTTATTTTTTTTTTAATGAAAACTTCTGCCTTCATTGTTGTCCCTTGAAGTATTCAATGCTTCATTACCCACTGTGGTGAGAGTGTCTGTTGCTGTTCTGTCTCTGTCTCTGAACTCTCCTATGGCTGCAACCCTTGCCAAAATCTTTTTTTTTCATATTTTTCTGTCTTGTGATCTTCTCTAGCAAAGCAATCTATCCAGTGTTTTGTGCCCTTTCATAGTTCTGCTAGGCTTGTTTTAATAGGAGGGATGTATTCCCAAAGTTTAGCCACCAAAATAAATGAGAAAACCTACTTGGGTACAATTCTAACCCTTTGGCTCTCAAATTGTTTTTCATCTAATGGAAGAAAATAATGGCTTTCAATAACTTTATAATCTTATCAGTTATGACCCAAAAATGTACTTGCAAGCCAGATTATTATGCATTTTAAAAAAAGAAAAATTAGGGTTCCTGTAAACAGTAGGCATAGTTAAGTAATTTGACCAAAAATCTCATTCTTTGGGCCAGTGTAGGTAAGATGTCATTGAATCACAGAACATGAGAACTGGAAAGGACCTTAGATAACATCTAATCCAGGCTTTTCATTGTATAGACTAAAAACTAAGATCCCTGAAAGATTATATGGCTTGTCCAATATCACACAATTTCTAGTGGAAGAACTAAGACAAGAACCCAAGTCCCCACAGACCTTGTGTTCTTTCTTCTGAATGATATTACTATTGCATGGTGTTTTATTTTAGGCAGATCCTACATCCAGACCTAAAAAGTCGTTTTCCATCTCATTCATTTGTAACTGATAATGTTGACCAGAGCAGGACACACTCCCCCCCTCTTAACATTTGAGCACACGAGCGCGCACACACACACATCCCAGAACTTCCTGCCAAAGAATTCAATAACCTCCTATCCATAGGCAAGGTTGCCCTTTGACCTAGAGAATGAAAGACTTAGAACCTAAATCCTCATGATAGTAAAATGCATATTAGACTAGCGATCTAGTAAGATTACTATAGGATGGGAAATGGGGCCAGTCTGGTTTATGTAACTGCCGAATCATACATGTGGACTTGTCAGTTTCATTAAAAATCAGCCTAGCATGCACACCTTCAAGATACCTAGGCCACACTATAGAATGCAGCTGGGCCTCGTTAAAAGCAACCCTGTATTGCCTATGACACTATTTATATAATATGTAAATTAGGGGTAAATATTCACTTTACAAAAAAAAGGTTTGATATTAGATGCATTTAATTATCAACTTTCCTTGATTCATTTTCAAAATATTCTTAGATTTATGACCATCTGATTGACATACAACTTTTCAGGAATGCATCTATTATGTAAAATGAAGTGTACTTTAGAAGTGAATCACTAACTAAATTGTATGGTTCAAACAAACTTAAGCAGGTTCAAAGTAGGACTTAGTCTTCCTTACCAATGGTGTCCTTTAAAACAGATTACATTGATTTGAAGAGTATTGGAACACTGCAGCAATACATTTGTTTGTTTTTTTTAGCTTGGGACTAGTTGTGAAGTGCTCTTAATATTTTTTCTGCAGTGAGCTCTGTTGAATCACCTCTTCCTCAAAGCATCAAAGGAAAAGCGAAATTGGCAGGTTAATAAGGTGTGAGAAGCAATTCTGCGTCCTTGATACTTCCTGGTCACCTTCACTCAGAAGACTATATGCTTCAAATTGGTTTTCTTCTGATACGGAAGTTGTGGCCATTCTCTTATGACTGCTCTCACCCCTTAGGCTGGTGAGGTAGGTTATCTTTACCAGCAATTTATGGCAGATTGGCTGGTAATGTTTATAAAACCTTAATCCTATTTCATGACACTTTGAAGCAAATACTTTTTCTAAAGAATTGCTTCTCTTGGATACAGTTAAGCTTTTGCAAGTTTGAAAAATTCAAGTCACTTTTGATTAGATAGATCTTTCTAAAACCTGTTTGAGACAACACCTTAGCATCACTTAAAATAGGAGAATGGCAGGCAACTCTTCCAGGCTGTGTGCTTTTGTACACATTTTCCTTATCAGCAGGAAGTATGTTGAAAGGAAAAGTGAGTTTCATGTCACCAACCTATCTGTGCCCTTTGTGGGAAATATGTCTGGAGCAAACTCAGTTTTTACAGATTACCTACTCTTTCTCATCAGTACTTGTTTACTCTGTACTCAATTGTTTTTCCTGTGTATTTGATGCCTGGATATTGCCTTTGCTCTGTTTCTTCCCATACATTTAAAAAAACCCACAAAGTAGTTCTTTCTGTGAAAATGAACATTTAATTTTAAAGAACCAGATGCTTCTTACTGCTATGAAACTGCCAGTATCCCCTTACAAAAGCATTTTTAATATAGTAATAAAATGGTTTTCATGATTTCAAATACAGAGAAAAATTATTTTGGTCAGAGTAATTCTGCCCACAGCAAGAGCTACTGAATATCTTGTAGTGAAAAAGGATCATTTGAGGGGGAGAGGGTACACAAGCAATCATTGCTTTTTGAAATGCTGCCAGGGAGGCAATGGGTAGAACCAAAAATCATTCCTTAATGCAGTTTGAGTTTTACCTTGTCCTAGTTTGATTTATGATTAAACTCGGCAGACAGATTTAGATAGAAACATTCTCTGAAATAACTGATATATGTGCAGTTCTAAATTCAACTCAAATGCTTATTTTAAGATACTTCAGGTCTTTGGGTAATGATAATTACCACTAAACAGCATTCTTCCCTAACATGTGTCTCCCAGAACTGTTAATGAACCATGGTTATCTGTTTTAAAAGCCGACATTCAAAATGATTACAATCCCTCTAATCATTACAATTTTTATTTCACTCCAGGAAGTAAGACAAGAAGATATACTTAAACAATGTTCTACCCATGGAAATGAACTTGTTATTCTTAACATAAATGTCCAGTAATGTGTGTGATTTATGTAAGTTGCTGATAAATCTGTGCATGAGAGCCCTTAAAATCACTTCTACTTTGGTTTTCTTTTTTAAAAAGATTAAAGGAATTTTTCTTCCCATTCCCTCTTCTTGCTTCCAAAAATATTCAAACAAGTATTTGGAAGACTTCCTTTTGGAAAAGAAAAAAGAAAGAAATGTGTGTTGTGTCTCCTGTGAAAGTGAATTGTCTGTCTGCCCACTGAGTACTCAATGCTTGTATGCAGAGTGAAGAGTCGGCCTGCCATTCTCTGGGTTGCTGTTCTGTACAATTACTGATCTTCTTTTCCTGTTGCAAGCAGCACATATTGCACTCCTATGCCACTATAATCTGCATCACTGTTGTACTCAGAACAAATCAATGAATAAAGTTTTGTGCTTTATTCTTAAATGTGGATGAACTTTGTTTTATTTCTTTTAGTTGCTGCCCTCAAAAGACCTGCTGTTTGGTGGAGGGATGGATTCCAGCCACACTAAAGTCTTCCTCCTCCAGAATCCTGAGACAAACACAACCTCCAAATCCATTGGTGTTTGAGAGACAAGAGGCATAGAAAGAGACGTAGAATGTTAGAGCAGAAAAAGAGCCTTGAGAGAATTGAGTTCAACTTCCTCATTTTACAGATGAAGACCATGAAGCCTAGAGAGGGAAGTCACTTTTCCAAGGCCATATGCTAGTAAATGACAGAGCAGAACTGAGACCCAGTTAGGATAAATAAGAGATAAGAAGATCTCAAGTTTAGTCAACAAGGATTTAGATTCCCAATATGTTCACGTTTCTCATTTTCATTCTCTATATGTTTTCCTTGTTTTGCTTTATAGTTATTCCTTTAGGGGGTCTATTGTCTGTTTTGTTTAGGGAGTCTTTTTTAAGTTTTTTTTTAATTTTAATTTTTATCTCCCTTCCCCTAATACTGCCTCTAACAGAAGGGTTTGTCCAGTAAAATCCCTAAAAGCATTTAAGTGCTAGAAGATATTCTGCAACAGTGGTATTAGACTCATTAACAATGGACAGCAAACTATACATAAGGATCCCTGCAGGTATGTATTGACATAGTCATATATTAACATTTTATTTTATTTATTTTTTTAAAAGTTTTCCAGTAGTTCAGGCTACATTTGAGAGGGCTTACTGGCCACCTGTGCTCTAGGAGTTCCTTAAGACCTTGGCCACCATGGGGTGATGGGTGATAGAACCAATGTCAACTAGTTTTCCTTCCCCCCCACACCCTGGGTAAAGCTAGTTTTCCCTAAAAGGTGACAAAGTTGTCCCCAGATCTTGATTAACCCAGGGGGTGAAAGCTCAAGCTGTGCCTCCCTTGATATATCTTTCTGGTAGCCTCTGGCCTTATTGATGTGGCTTCCTGGCCACCTAAGGGCTCACCTATAGGAGTCCATGCTATTCAGACTTGTCAGATGTGCCAAGATTGTGCAAGCCACCACACCTTGTTCTGCTTATTACCTATTTCCGTATGAAAAAGAGGAACCAGTCTTCAGAGTGAAGTGCTAGAGTATCCTTGTTGGATATCTTTCTGTTCTATAACCAAAGAAGCCTCCTTTTGTTAACTATAATGGCCTATGACTGCCACATTTTTGTCCCAGCATCAAACTTGAACTAACATGGTGCCAGCCTGAGTCAGAATTACCCCTAACTCTAACCTTCATCTAGGGGAACAACAATAATTCAATTATGCATCTCTATTAAGATGCCATCTTCCTCAAAATCTTTAAGATTGATCAACATTAGAAAGTTTGTTGTTATTGGGGTTTTTTTTAGCCAAAATATATTGCCCTTCCTCTATGATATTTTGCTAATGTTTCTTTTTGCCTTAGGATAAAGAAAGAGAGCTGCAACTAATGATAGCTTAATCATTCTATCAAGTCTGTGGTTTAGGATAGCCCAAGAATGTCTTCATGGCCTTATGACTATAAGCAAAGACATATAGGAAAGAAATGTAAATCATATGTCTGTAATAGAAAACCAAAAAGCCTGGAGAAAATTCACCAGGTTTAGATTCATGCATATGGATCAGTCTTTACTAACAAGATATTAAGTTAATCTTATCACAAAAGTATTTTTTATTCAGATTGCCAATTATAATCATGAGTAGTCAATACTAATAACATAGGGCTTTACAGTTCCAAAGCATTTTATACATATTAGCTAATTTGATTCTCACAACAACTCAGTGAGGTGGGTAGAATAAATAATATCACCATGTTACAGCTGAGAAAGGCAGATGAGAGAAATTTTGACTTGCTCAGGGTATCAAAACTAGAAGCTGTTAAAGCCAAAATTCAAACCCAAGTCTTCTGACTCCTAAATCCCGTGCTCTTTCCACTATACCATGCTGACCATGCAACGTAATCAAAATCAAGACACTTTGATTTTGCCACATCTGACTCTCTAGCTGGAAATTAATGTTAAACAGATGAATTTATACCCAAGCCTTTACCCTGATCGCATGACTATAGATAATAGACAGAAAAGGTTCTAATAGATCAGTAATAGCAGGCTCTTAGATACAGAGAAGGTACTGGGAAAAGCATGATCTTGACATCAAGTTGCTGAGTAATATGCATCTAAAAAAGGATTGTGCTGAAGCTGGTTGTAAAATTTTCAGTGTGAACATCTATACCTCAGATATTGGCAAACTACAAATCAGGATTTGATTTATTGTTTTGTTGTTTGTCTGGACTTAAGAACATGGAGGGGGAAATGCTAGTAAGCGCAGATTAACTTTAAAAGTGTACATGCATACTTTTTTCTGGAGAGCTGGTTGTTAAACAATCACTATCATACCCCTATTCTAAAGTATCTCGTTCTTATTGAAAACCATGGTTCTTTCATCTCAAGGTAAGGATGAATTCTTAGAATGGATATTAAAGAGAGAAATTAATTGTTGTGGAATTATTTCCTCTTTGGTGTGGCACCTGCCCTTCAAGGAACCCTTGCAGAGTCTGAGGCTCCATGCCCCAGGAAGGTGAATTATGTATGGAAGGGTGACCAACTGTTCCATCTCCATTCAGGACTGAAGTAAAGGAAGCCACAGCAGAGTATTTGACTTGAGCATAGGAAAGTATTTCCTATAGTGAGAGTTTGAATCTGGGAGGGGGGAGTGGAGTTTAGAGTCCTGATTAGAAGCAGCATGCTCTAGACTTCAGAGCATTGGACCTAAAGTAAAGCTCTGGGTTCAAATCCTGACTCAGACACTTACTATGTGACTAGGTGAATCATTTAACCTCTCTCAAGTCTCTGTAAGATGAGGTAGCTGGACTCAATGATCTTTAAATCTATTTCAGTTCTGAATCTAAAAGTCTATGATCCTATGATTATCTTTGAATCTAGGACATTCTGATAAGAGGTAGGTAGTGGGAGAGAGGTTCTGGTCCTAGAAAAAGGCACAGTCTGCTACTTTGGTTCTTCTACTGCTGGGAGTCCAATGGTCCATGTACTTCCTGATTTAATCCATGTAATTGAGAGGGCCCAGAGCTTGGTGACTTCTCCTTCAAGCTGTAAATCAACCATCCTAAGTAACTTGTTCAAAGTCACATAGGTAATAAGGTAGAAGTTACAAAGAGGTCATTTTAGGATTGATATCAGGAAAAACTTCAATAGTCAATAGGAAGCCCCTGGAACTTCTTGAGCAGAGCAGCTCTGTTGAGGATAGATTGGGGAAAGGAGAGACTAGAAGTCAAGAGAACAGTGAGGAAGGTATTTTAATAGTTCTTTAATGGAGACTTCTGCCTCAGGTCTGTGACACGTGGCTGGCATAAAGACAGAACCATCTCTGAGAAGATGGTAAATGCCCTTCTATTGGCAATCCTAGAGTAAGATTCCTGGCCTACTTAACAAGACCCAGTGAGACAAAGCCCAAGTTAAGTACCTGCTACCTTTCACTGAAGCGGCCCCAGCAACACAGTAAGCAATCTGATATAGGTTATATATGAGCAATCACATAAAACATTTCCACGTTAGTCATGTTGTGAAAGAAGAAACAACAAAATGAAAAAAAAAAGAAAGTGAAAATAATATGTTTTTATCTTCATTCAGATTCCATCAGTTTTTTTTCTCTGGATGTGGATAGCATTTTCCATCATGAGTCTTTTGGAACTGTCTTGAATCATTGTATTGCTGAGAAAGGCTAAGTCAATCATAGTTGATCATCAGACAATGTTGCTTTTACTGTGTACAATAGTCTCCTAGTTTTGCTCACTTCACTTAGCATCAATTCAGGTCTTTCAAAATTCTCTGTTTGACATTTAAAGCCCTTAAAACCCGGCCCCAAGCTATCTTTCATATGATACTATACATTACTCCCCTGCAAGAACTCCATTGTCCAACAAACTTGGTCTTGGTACTGTTCTTCGTAGGCAAGATTCATGTTTTGCAGTCTATCTCTGATGCCTGGAATGTACTCCCTCCTCATCTGTGCCTCTCAGGACCCCTAGTTTACTTCCAGCATGGCTCAAGGGCCACCTTCTACATGAAGCCTTTTCAGAATCTTCCCCACTTCTTAAAATGTCTTGGCTCCCAGAATTATCTTGTATCTATTTTGTATGTAGCTTATGCATTATATCAATATATATGCATGTGTATATTATACCTATACATGTACATGTTGGGCAGCTAGGTGGCACCGTGGATAGAATTCTGGGCCTAGAGTCAGAAAGACCTGAATTCAGATTTGACCTCAGGGGGCCGCTAGGTGGTGCAGCAAATAGAGCTCTGGCCTTGGAGTCAGGAGGACCTGAGTTCAAACCCAGCCTCAGACACTTAACACTTACTAGCTGTGTGACCCTGGGCATGTCACATAACCCCATTGCCTAGCCAAAAATAAAACAAAACAAAACAAATTTGACCTCAGACACTTGCTGTGTAATCCTGGACACATCACTTAACCCTGTTTGCTCTACTTTCCTTGTCTAAAAAATGAGCTGGAGATGGAAATGGCAAACCATTCTAGTACCTTTGTCAAAGAAAACCCAAATGGGGTCATGAAGAGTTGAATATGACTGAAACAGCTTGACAACAACAAATGTATATGTTATCTCCAACCAACAGAATGGCAGCTCCTTTAGTACAGGGACTGATTGCCTTGTGTCTCTGCATCTTCAGCACCTAACAGAGTACATGGTGCACAGTAGGTACTTAATACATGTTGATTAATTGATTTTATTAACTGTGTGACAATTAGTTCCTCCTCCTGGGAGAAGATGGTGAATGGAAATGTGACTGCAGAATAGTGTGTCTAGTGAATGTTGCTGGATAAGCATGTGCAACCCCAAATAAGAGCCATTCATTGATCATGACTGTGGTCAAGAACGGAATTTATGGGCTTCTGGGAATTTATTACAATGTCCTTTCAATTCCTTTCATAAATAAGAGCTGGG